ATGGCGTAGGTGACATCATGTTGATACAATCATCAGCTGAAAGCTGGGTGAAAGGTGCAGGTTTAGCTATCGGAGCTGGACGACGGCCGCGCGCCTTTCGTGCTGGCTGAAGAGACTGCACAGGTGAACCGCGAGCAAGAGAGGCTTGCGAGTGGGACGGTCCAGTGGACTGAAGGAACATCGCACTGTTTTGCAGAGGCGAGCCGTGAGTAAGGGGAGTCTGCGATGGGAACGGTGCCATGGCGTCTTGGAACATAAAGCCATTCTTTTGAGGTGGCTGGAAAGAAGGTACTTGTGGCTGAGATGGCTCAGCAGACCCGTAGAGCATCGAAAAGTTCTGCTGGGGTGGAATGCGAGCAGATTGAGCCTGGGGTTGGTATGACACATCAGACTGCTGGTACATCGCACTGTTCTGCTGAGACGTCTGTCCAGGAACTTCAGGCGCTGTAGCCCGATGTTGAGCTGAGGGCATAGGATGGGCGATCCTCAACTGATCCATGATGTGAGCTGGGACGCTGCGAAGGTAGTCAAACTTTGCCTGCTTGGTGAGGCCTGGCCTGTTCAACTGAGTGGCCATATGCCTGCGAAACATCTCTAGCTGCTGCTCTGACATGGGCGCCGGAGCGTCTGAAGTCGAGTTGGCTTGCACTTGGAGCTGGCTCGAACCGTCGCTAGACGCGATGTTGGACTCAGGTGGAGACTGTTGCAAGTTCTGATAGGTGTTGAAGGTATGCTGCGACTGTTCGATCAAAGCCTCCCCATCAGAGCCGAGATGACAGCCGTTTTCAAATGCGCCAGCGGAGGGGCAGGAGATAAGGTGGGAGGGATTGCTGGTCAGCGCCATGGACAAAATTCCAGAGCTGTTGCTGCTGCTCCAAGGCCATGTCATCAAGATGGAGATAGTCGGTCTCGGATTGGTGTGCGCCAGCGGAAGCAGGGACTTCAATGTTGAATGCGTTCTGGTGAGGTTGTTCATTCTCTATAGTGAGGTCATCATCCGAGGTGAAGTGCTCTTGGACTGGAGATTCAGCAGCACTGGGCGTATCCGAGAACAAGGAGTTGGAATCGTCCTCAAGCTCTTCGTCATCCACTGGGAGATCGGCGTCTGAGGTGAAGTGATCCGCGACTGGAGTTGAAGCGGCGCTGGCCGGAGCCGAAACCAAGGGCGCGAGATCTCGCTGAAACTCGTCCAAGGCTTGATTGTTCTGCTGCTCGACGACCGGAAGCGATGCATCTGGGCCGAGCCCTGCAAAGAGCGCATCTGCATCCGCGCTGGAGAAGATAGGAGGCTGCTGAGCGGAGAAGTCTTGTCGAAAGTTGGCAGAAGGCTCCAGGCCATTAAGGTCAAATTGACCTGCGCCTGCGTATTCGGGTGCTTGAAGAATCTCGCCGGGAGCAATGCCGCAAGTGAAGGGAGCCCAATCCACGTCTTCAAGTCGCAGAGTGTCCTCGAAGCCGCCATAGTAGACGTTGAAGTTGTCGTCAATTGACACCATGCTGTCAAAGCAATCGGCGCCAAAACCTGAAGAGCCAGTCTCAGGTTGGGCAGCCGGGGCGCGTTGATGGTTGTAAGACATCTTGGAAACCTTGTGACAACTGGCGCCAGGAGTGTGAGTGAGGGAGGGTAATGAGGTATTGAGAATAGTAAAGACGACCGGCGTCAATGAGAAGGGTATCGCAAGGAATCGTTCGCAGAACGTAAGAATCGGAGAATAGAGAGTTAAGTTGAGCTTGCAGAAAAGAGTTTGTAGAGAGGAAGTAGGGGTGAGGCAGAAACTTTATCTAGTCGGCCTTCCAGCCTCCTCCACGGTGAACAGTTGTGGCGGCGATGAGAGTGAGCGGTTCAATAGCCATTCTGCAGTGAGCTCTGCTTTTGCTATTGTCGAACAGCGAAAGAGGAGGCTGGGGCTTGTTGCCTTGCGCGATTTTCGAACGGCAGCGGTGGCGAAGAGCGGACAGTAACTTTGACGGTGTGCGGAGAGTGCGCGGTGGTGGTGGTCGTCTTCACCTTCACCTTCACCAGAGACAGAGCGGGCCGTTCCACCCATACCTGGATTTTGGCCTTTGTGGGGGCGAGGTCGATAAGCTGATAACCAGGAGATATGAAATGAGACTGTGGCCTTAGAGTCCGCATATTTGCTTCGTATGTATGTAGCCTATTCACCTTGCACACCTGGGCACGGGCTGGACTGAGGGTTTGCAGGCAATTGCCACAGGTTGTATTAACTGGAGGACCATCCAAGGGCTGGGGGAAACTCAATTACTAAGGGGCGTTCTTGACTTAAATAGCAAGTGACAGGCGGGCTAACTGCTCCCAGCGGCGTCAAGAGTGTAGCAGTGGCTGGTCCTCGGAGCTGTAGACAGCCTCAAGTGCTTGGAGGCCGATTCAATCACAATCGCTATCTCGCCAATCAGTCGTATCTTCGCAGTCGTATCTTCGTGGTCACTTCCCGATTCGCCTGCTGCCGCTATATCGCACCTTCCTCGTCGGAACATCACGCCTTCGTGAAGCGTTGCCTACGTCAACCCGTCGACTACCAACTGATACGCTCGACCGCCCACGTCCACCCACACATCGCTCAAATACTTCAAAAAAAGACAGCCGCTTGACCTCAGAGTTAATCGCATCGAGCAGCCAAGCTGGCGTTCAAAGCTAGACCCCGGAGTGGCCGGCGCAGTGAGTTTCGCGCAACTCCAAGACCTATTCGGTAACTGACCGCCTCTAGCTCGCCGTGCCCCTACTCTTGCGCATGGCAATAAGGGAAGACTGCCATTCGGAACGCCTACGAATACCGACAGCTCCTCTCATTCCCATATCCGAGTTGTCCCTCGACCCGACAGCGATCAAGATCCCGAGGACGACTACGACAACTGGACCCCAACCTACAAGTCACAGTCGCTGTTCCAATTGGGATCTGCTAAACAGCGCGGAGTGACACACGAGGATCCCGCTGTCGAGTCTCCAGCGCATACGAAGACGTTCGCAGACATGGCGCGCCGCTTCTGTCCCGTCGACAACGAGCATGTCTCTGAACCGTCACCATACTTTATGGCTGGTATCATCAAGCTCCAGCCCCACAGGAAGATTGGACAAGACCCATGGAAGCCAGCGCAGACCAGTGAGCTCAGCGTGGCTTGCGAGAATGCTTCCTCGACAGCTGAGAACTTGGAACGTCTGCTACACGTCAACAACTCGCCGCCATCAACTTTCATGACAAGTTCCCCAGAGCTGTTGCGCTACAATCGCTCGACACCAAACTTTCAAGCCTCCCAAGGTCGTGCGCAGCACCGCCTCATCACCGAGGGTGCGAATCACTTCCCGCAGTTCCTTGCTGCAAAGGGCAGAGGCCAGGCAAGCTCATGGACGGAAGCCCACACCAGTGGCAGAGACCGATATACAGAGCTGTTCGGCAAGTTGCCTGATCAGATTCGCCTGCACGAAGAACTGGGCGAGTTCGATGGCCAAGTAGTCTTCATCGGTCATCCGAATCGCGACGTTTCCGCACACCAATGGTCATCTGCCTCGTTCCAGTGGGAGAGTATTGGCAGATATTGTTACTCTCGTGACAAAGTCGAGGGTTCGTTGGCATCTGAGCGGCTGAAAGGCATCGACCCGTCTCGTGACGCTCTATTGCACTTCAAGATGGCCGCCGAGGACAGAGAGAAGGATGTTGTCCAGATCACCTTCCCCCAAGAAGAACTCGGTATGGTTCCGAGCATGTTCCCAAACGTCGTTCACGCGAAAGGAACATCTCTTTCCTCAGCAGAAGCCACTCAGGAAGTGATTCAGGACAGTGTGTCCCACGTAAGCCTGGGTCATTCTTCCGGACAAACCATCAAGACAACTTCTGATCCCTCACACAATCTCGTCACAAAGGAACAACTCGACGACCCTTTCGTTTCGAAAACGAACTCCGTGCAACGTAAACATCCCAGCAGCACCTTTCCTAGGTTTGATTACGGAGAGGTGAAGGGCTCTCTTGATCTCAGATATGAGTTTCCTGCTCTAGCACACGCGCTGAACCAAAACATCGCCGTGACTACCCCACAGCGACAGGGCGACTCAAACACTACTCGCGATGGATCACGACTGACGCAGCCAAGTCTTCGCGATATTGGGTTCGGTGAGGAAGCATCCAGCGGAGCCACCTTCTCCGATGGACAGAGCAATTCATCTGACAAGCCGCCAGCGCACTCGTCCCCAGAGATCGTGGGTGTGGATCAAAAGCCTGGAAGTCGCATGTCCACAAACGCCGAGTATACAGAGCTCTTAGATGCTCCAGTCCAGGGACGTATGATCCCAAGATTCGAAGGATCACATCTTACAGCTCGATCTTTGTTTCCTGCTCCAGGCCTGACAATCGCAAATCCATATCGCACTGTCCCACGTATGGAGACCGCAACTCCGTCTGTACCAGAGGCACCTCCCAAAACTCCTGTTTTGACTCAGTCGAAAACGGATGACAGCAGCCCAGCGGCGCTCCAGTTCAGTGACCCCGACATACTCCGACGGGAAGTGCCAGAACATGTAATAGCGAATGGACTCAGCAAACAAGCACCGACAACACAGAACTTCAAGGGACCATTCTTCACGGATTCAATACCAACAGCTAATGACCCCACGGCATCACTTTTCACCCATGTGAGCGAGGAAGAGAAGCTCCAAGACTGGTATCGTGATGGCCATCGCCCAGCACGACAGAGAGAGTACGCCACGTCTCTCATGTCTGCTGCTGCAGCTGGCAGCAGGAGTCGCCGTCCTGGTGCCATTGGCGACGCTGCAGGTATTGTTGACAGCAATGAGATTAAGAACACTGTTCCTTTCGTACGCCTCTATGAAGGCTTCTCTGAGTACATCGAGGAGTATCGCAACGGGAGTGGTGGTTCCTACTTCACACGAGCCTGGAAGGTGCCCCCTGCAGATGTGCGAGATCTTGGTCCAGATGGAAACAACAGCTTCTTCGCTGGTGCTGGGAAGCTCTCAGATACCGAGCACCTGCAAGTAGCCAGTCAACATCATGAGGTACAAGTTAAGGATTTCGCACGAATGGTGCCCCCAAGCGATAAGACAAGATCTCTTCCTTTCGGATCCATTGGAGATCCTAGGAGGGTGGGCCTGGTCAAGATGGCAACGCGTGCTAGTCAGTGGTGAGTCTGGAGAGCGCGGATCATATGGAAAGGCGGACTAGGGGGGATGGTTATGGAACTGATATGGAAGACGCACAGCTGCTCAAGTCTCTTCAATAGCTGCTGAGCGCGATAGTGCGAAAATGGGAGCCTTAAAGCTTCATGAGATGAGCAGTCATCGCACATCAAGCAGGCCGAAGTTTGAGGAGCGCAAAAAAAATGAGTTACGCAAATACCTTCTACATGCGTGATGATGTGAAAAGTGACAAGTGATGGGAGTCGTGTAGTGCAGTAGATATCTTCGGACATAAGCGGACATTAATCAGTCCCACCTCAATGCGTCATTCGTCTTTTACCTTTACCTCGACCACCACATGCACATCCGCCTCTCCATACCAATCATATACTTCCCCACCACGTGCCAACCCTTCGCCTACCATATGAGTTTCGCAAACTATCTCCCCGACGAGCTCCTGCTAGAAATTCTCGAATACGTCGAAGCATGGGAAACACACGCGCGACAAGAGTCTCTTGCGCGCTTCTGCTGCGTCAGTCGCCAGTGGTACGACGTGGGCATTCGGAAACTGTACGAGTCGCCGTACCTTTCTGGGCGCGCGTATGAGCGATTTGTACGCACGATATGCCCGAGTGTGATTCCGAGGATACGCCCGAGTAGTCTGGCGGGGCTGGTAAGGGTGTTGGATTTGAGCCATATTGTGCACAATAGCAATAAAGCTACTACCGCGAGTGAGTTTGCATACTCCCTCTTTACACACTTTGAGGATCAGTAGTGCTAACAATGTGGGAATAGGATTACTCGGCCGCACGAAGAACTCGCTACAGACGTTCATTGCGCCCCAGGCCTCGTTTGCGATTAATTGCTGGGCGTCGCTGAGTAAATGCATACATATGCGTGTCCTGGATCTTTCCCTCGTGTCTGAAGCGATTTCCTTCCAGAGCCTCAACCAGACGATTCGCCAGCTGCCTGAGCTGCGCGAGCTTTACCTCCCGCGCTGCAACTCGTCCTACGAAGCAAAGGAGAGCGCCATGAACGTCCGCTGGCCGCCAATTCTCCAGCACCTCAGTCTATCGGGGAGTGTCAGCGGCCAGTTCCTGTGGGATATGTTGCGCAGCCCGGACAACTTCCCGCCCACGCTCGCAAGCATTAGTATCCTGCATTGTCCGGGCCTCGATCACAAGGGCGTGAGGCCGCTGCTGCAGAATCTCGCGAGTGCGCTGACGGTCGTGGAACTCCGCGACTTACCCGCTGTCAAACACGGGAGGTTCAACGGCGTGTTGGACTGGTGTCCGAACCTGCATAGTCTGAGCGTCGCGCTGGATTACATCGACGCGAGATTCGGTAATGTCCCAGACGATTGGAATGCGGGGCGCTGGAGAGAAGCGAAACCCCTTCAGACACTCACGCTCGTGAGTTCGGGCCAGACGAGCATCGATCCGAATCGCAGCTTCACGGCCGTTGAGCTGTGGGCGCTGCTTGACGAGCGGTACCTCGGCCGCTTGCGCTACTTGCATATTGCGCAGAGTACGGAGTGGCATTTGGGGGACGAGGGGGCCGAGGTGGGCGCGCTGGAGTTGCTGTTGACGGATCAGTTGGACAAGGAGAGTTGGGAACTGCGGCGGTGGCATTATGCTGATTTGCCACCTGTGCGTGAGGGCATGACGTATGAGAGATGGATCAGGGAGACGAGCATGGGGCAGAGGATGAGGCCGCATGTGAGGATGCTGAGGAATCGGTGATGATTGATGCATTCATTTTGTATTTTGTGCATCAGCCAAACTGGTCATGGGAAAAAATCTAGGATAAAAGCTTTCAGAGAACAAGATTCGAGCGGCAAAATGCTCGTTCGAGTGCTCCAATTCATCATACTTCACAAGCCGTCATATTTGTGTCCTTCAACCTGCCATATTCGCAAGCCTAAGTACCGTTCGCCTTTGCGCCCTGGATAATACCACGGACACCGCCCTTTCCACCAACCTCCCGATACGTAGCGTTTATGCTCAAGTCAGCGCCAATGTTGAGCTGGATCTCGACCTTGCCGCCCTTCTTGACGCCACGAATAGCCGCCTCGCTAAGCACATTGCCAACCTTCCACGTCTTTTCCCGGAGTTCCTCCTCCTCATCGCTCTCGTCGTCTTCGCTGTCATCCTCATCGTCCGAGTCGTTGCTCTCCTTCTTAGGCTTGGGCTCGGGCTTGGTGACCTTGATGTGTCGCGAGCCTTCGGCGAGCTTGATCAGGACGTCGCCGCCAGCCTTGGGGGTGGCGACGATGGCGGTCCGTCGGACGGGGAGTTGGGTCTCTGCGTCGACGATGGAGTGGAAAACACCGTTGGACTCGTCGCCGGATATGCACAGAACACCGACGGCGGTGGTCAGATGAGGGGTGACAGTGACCATGGGGTGTGTGCTCTGCTCAATGTCCTCGAGCTCGAACTCCTGGATCAGGCTGGCCTGGATAGCGGCACCGCGCACGGCAAGCTCAGAGGGGTTGATTGCAGTTGACGAGGTAGAAGGCGCCATGACGGTGGTGGTTTCGGGGAAAGCTGAGCCTACCGCAGCAGCGACCTTTGGTGTGTGGGAGTTTCCACCGGCAAGGATGATTTCGGTAACGTCCAGGGGATCAAGTCCGGCCTTCTCCACTGCTTGAGTAACCAGGCGGGTGAATGCAGCAAAGAGCTTGTTGCCGAGAAGGTCGTAACGTGTGCGGTTGATGGTTGCGGTGAAGTCAACACCACCGACCAAGCTCTCCACCGAGAAGTTGGCGGTGGTTCCTATTGAGAGCGCCTTCTTGACAGCCTCGCACTCCAGCTTAAGCTTAGCCATTGAACGGTCGTTTTCCCGAGGGTCGCCAGCAGACTTGTGCTTCTTGATGAACTCCTTGGCGAAGTACTCGATCAGAACCTGGTCCAGCTTGAAGCCACTGACATCGTAGTCGTGCGTAGTGGCCAGAATGGTGTAGATGCCACCACGAGCGGCAATGACAGCAATGTCTGAGCGGGTACCACCGAGGTCAGCGACAACAATGGTCTTGTCTGAAACCTGGGCGCCGGGGCGGGCGTCGTATGCCAGTAGGGCAGCAGTTGGCTCGTGGATGAATTGCAAGACCTCGAGTCCAGCATCCTTGGCCGCGGCCTTTAGGGCTTCTTTTTGAGCATCGGAGAAGTTGGTGGGGACTGTGATGACGGCGGCGTTGACGTCCTTGCCCAGGTAGTCGGACGAGGATTGGCGTAACCGCCTTAGGTGGCGCGTTGTGACCTCTCCTACGGTAATCGTGTTCTCCTTCTCTTCCTCGGTGTCGCGGACGCTGAAGGCAACGCTGTCGCCGTTTTCTAAGGGGTGTGCCGACTGGTGGGCGGGTGAAGGGTCAATCGATTTGAAACTGCGAGAGTCAGCACTGGGCCCGGATAGTGGGAAGACAAGCCTACTCTTGGCCCAAGAAGTCGCGGAAATAGGCGACAGTGTTCTTAGCATTGCGGACGAGTTGGCTCTTCGCCTGTCCACCGTGAAGCTCCTCTCCCTCTACGTATGACAGGGCTGTGGGGATCTGTCGGTCTCCGTCCTCGTTGGCGATAACTTCGACTTTTCCTTCCTGTCATGGTATTAGTATATCCCTATATCACTGGAAAATTCCGCGACCCACAGGAGAGGTGTAAGCGATCGAGCTGTAAGAGTTGCCAAAGGACAATCCTATGGCAACCCTCTGCGTGGGGTCATTTTGCGCGGCCATCTTTGGCGGGGCAGTCGCTACAGCAGTGTTCTGTTTCTGGCCAGGTGAAAAAAGCCAAGGTTGAGTTGTCGAAAAAAAGATGGAAGGAGTGGCCGCGGTAATATGCGTGCCAATAGTCTGCCCTTGGTCGTGTCTTCTTCGCGTCTAAGAAATTTCAAGGTCCAACGAAAAAGTTCGAGACATGCGCAAGTGCGCATGGGCCACTTTACCCACGTTTACTAGCAGTCCTAACATTGACATCACGTCGAGACGACAGCAAAATCACCACACTCCTTCTAAACCAACTGCGACCATGGCAACACTCGTTCTGCCTGGCGACGAGATCCCACCTCATGCGCTGCCAACTGGCACCGGGAAGCGCAAGACATTGAAACTTGGCCCCGGACTGCGACACATCCCACCCAGCACCGTAGTAACAACCGTCGCGGGCGCACTGGTGACCGACAACAAGAAGAACGCAGCATCCGTAGAAACCAACAGCGGTCGAGTAAGCCACCATCCCCCCCCAAGCATGCCGTCGCAGTCCTATTCTACACATACAATTCTCTACAACTAAGGTTCTAAACTAACACCACCACAGTACATCCCCTACCCCAACGACCTCGTCATCGCCACGGTCAACAACTCCACCGGCGAATCCTTCAACTGCCTGCTCTCCCCGCACACCCCCTTCGCCGCCCTCCCGCACCTCGCCTTCGAAGGCGCCACAAAAAAGACCCGCCCGCAACTTCCCCCCAACTCCCTCATCTACACGCGCATCGTCTCCTGCCCGCGCGACAGCGCGCCCGAACTCACCTGCGTGGACCCGGCGACTGGAAAGTCCGAAGGACTAGGCCTACTCAAGGGCGGCATGGTGTTCCCAATTAGTCTGGGCATGGCGAGGAGATTGTTGGCGCCCAAGGAAGAATTGGTGTTGCTGGAGGAGCTGGGCAAGAAGATTGGGTTTGAGATTACGGTGGGCAGGAACGGGGTTGTGCATGTTGATGCGGGGAGTGTGGGCAGGACGTTGGCGGTGGGCAAGGCGCTTCAGAGAGTGGATGAGGAGGCCGTGGGCGAAGCGGGCCAGAGGAAGATGGTGGGCGAGATTTTGAAGAAGATTTGAACATGTAGAAGACGAGGGGTTTTTCGAATCGCCCGTCGTGAAGTCTACAAGCCGTGGCTTTGGGAAAGTCAGGGCTCGTCCTGAAGACGTATTCAAGACAGATGCTGGGCAAGAACAACGTCAACGCAGACGTCTGGTCGGGCGTGGCATGTTTAAGCCTACACTATGGAGACGTCTCATACCCGCCTCTAGAAGGCGTCACAGCCCGTCACAGGAGCGCAAGTTTGCCGGCATGTCTGGCAACAAGATGGGACTACTGTGCATGGGAGTCGCTAAGTGACATCACGAAGCAAGCAGGTATCAGAGGCGCAAGGATGAAGCGGAACACAGAAGTGTAGCAGAAACACACAAAATAGTGTCTGGAAATGGTACATTTTATAGGCCCATCCATCAGTGGCCGAATCATACATTGCATTTCCCCTCTTTCATTCACGTCCCGTTCCAGCTCTTTGACTTTCTCTTTTGTCCTTCCGCAACTCACTGCTCGCAACAGCTGTCTACGGAATAACTCTCTGCGGGTCCCTAGGGAACAAACTGCACATGCGAATGTTTGGCAGCCCCAGCCAAAACTGGACAATCCTCTCCAGCCCAAAGCCACCACCACCATGCGGCGGACATCCGAACCTAAAGCAGTCGACGTAGTCCTTGGTACCAGCAGACTCCGGGTCAATCGGCGGGTCGTGCTTGCGCATCTGCGAAGCCAGCAGTTTCGAGTCGTGGATACGCTGGGCGCCGGAGCAGATTTCCTGGCCGCGCATGAACATGTCGTACGAGTTGGACAGGAGCGGGTCGGCGGGCGAGGGCATGGTGTACGCAGGACGGATGGCGAGGGGGAATTGGTCGAGGGTGTAGAAGTCGGTGTTGTATTTTTGGAGAACGAGCTTGCCGAGGAGCTTTTCTTGTGGGGTGCTGCGGGTATGTTAGATGTGTGGGTATGAGCATAAGTGGGGTGGTAGACTCACGATAAGTCGTCGTAGTCGTTGAGCTCTTCGCCGGCTTCACGGAGCATGGCGATGCCCTCCTTGAAGGGTATCCGTGGGACCTTGCCGGACTCGGGCAGCTTGAACTCGTCGACGTGGTAGACGCCACGGACAAGCTCAGTCTCCTTCTTGTATCGCGCATTCAGCTCAGTGAAGATGAACAGCATCAGGTCTTCCAGAACGCGAATGACTTCGTGGTAGTTCTCCTGGAACTCCATCTCCAGATCGAGACCCGTGAACTCGGTCAAATGACGCGCGGTGTTCGAGTTTTCTGCGCGGAACACTGGGCCGATCTCCATGACCTTCTGGAAGCGCGAGGCAATGAGCATCTGCTTGTAGAACTGTGGTGATTGGGCAAGATATGCTGGGCGGTCGAAGTACTTGAGCTCGAAGACATTGGCACCACCTTCTGATGCTGCGCCGAGAATCTTGGGAGTATGGACGAGTACAAAACCCTTCTTGGAAAGGAACTCCTGGAATATGGCGCAGACACCGCTCTTGATGACGAAGATGGACTGGTTGATCTTCGCGCGCAGGTCGATGGTCCTGTTGTTCAATCTGGTATTGAGACTGACGAGCGGCTGCTTGTCACCTTCCTCCTGTTGCTGCTCTTCCTCGGTCGTAGGCAGAGGCCGTTCCGCATCCTCGACCTGAAGCGGCAGAGGGACGTCGGCCTTGACCTCAATGAACAGCTTCTGGACGTGGATCTCAAAGTCCTTGATGGAAGCACTCTTGATGGGCTCCTTTACACGCTTGACCAGGCCGGTGACGAGGAGTGTGCTCTCCGTGCTCACACTTCCACAGTACTTGACCATCTGCTTGCTCAGCTTCTCGCTGGCAGCCACGACAGCCTGCACTGTGTTGAGACCCTGGCGCAAATTGAGGAAAGCGAGCTTCGCGGACTGAACACGCGCATTTTCAACCCAGCACCGGAATGTGATTTCCTTGTCCTCGTTCTCGGAAGCTTGAGCAAGGTCGGTACGCGGCGTGCCCGTGGGCTTGAAGTCGGTCGAACCGCACAGTGGAAGGTCGCCATACGAGCCGGCAGAAACGTCAGCGGCATCATCAGCGTCCTTTTTGGCACGTTCGGCGAGTTCACGGGCTTTCGCTGCGGCCTTTTTCTCTGCCTGCTATACTGTTAGCACCAAGTCAAAACATGAAGGGTTGGACATAACATGCCTTCTCCTTCTCCTTCTGCGCCTTCTTCAGGGCGTTCTTCGAGGGAGCCTCGCCCTGCGGCGGCTCATTTGGGGGTGCAGCGTCACTCATTGTCGTTGAACTGTTAGAAGAATTGCTTGTCGTGTGCACTTTCAATGCTACGAATTTACATGTCCATGGCGGGGCTATGATTCATTGCCCCACCATCGCTAGCGTGTCGCGGCCGAGTCAGGCACTTCAGGTACGCTCACACATGAGAGGATGCATGCAGTGAACCCTGTGGTCGGCTGGTGCATTAGAAACTACCAATACGTATCTGAAAACTTTCCGACATGCTAGTGATAATCCCGCTCGCAATGCTATGCAATGACCAAAACCCAAGAATATCCTAAACCTTGCATGAGTGAACGCCGCACAAACACCTGAGAGGCCGTAAAGAGTACGTCTATTCTTAGGGCCCAAATACTGTTACTCAAAAAGTTCGACATCGCCACAATTAAACATTCAGAGATGATACCCTGCCGGGAGTGGTAGTAGGGCCTTCCCATAGCTTGACCGTCTTGATCGCGGAATGTTTCGGTTCGTGGCAGGCGAATATGTTGACATGGTTGTCGTGTAGAGCCGAAGCAGCGATCATGAGTCTATGCGGATGAAACGCGGTAGCTGCAATGGGAGCTGATCGGTCGCGGAGGAAACCGGAGTACGGCTCAAAGTAGGAGACGGGTTGGCCGCTATTGATGTTGAAGATCTTGACGCGATGCTTTTGTGTTCCACTACACTTGTCAGCTGGAGAAGTAGGGCTTGAGATCATCAATACTTACGTCGCAAACACAGGTGCATGTTCGTGAACACTCAACGTGCGCAGGTGGTCGGTTGTGGCCATAATTGTCTTTACGCTCCGATCCATACGGATGTCCCAGAGCTTGACCTCACCACTCCGACAGCCACTGACGAGCTCGCGCTGGCCGCCTCGCTGCAGATGCACATTCGTGACCCACTGCTTGTGTTCTTTCCATACTTTGACCATGGCCGTGGCGGGCTTCTGGCGCTGATCGTAGACGCGAATGGCACCATCACCAAATCCAGCGACAAAAACGTCTCCTTCTACTTGGTCTGAGGTCAGGGAGGTAATGCAAGAACCAGATCGGGCAGGTATGTCCTGAAAAAGTCAGTAAGGCCAACATCCTTTCATCGTTATACAACTTACGCTGGTGCAAACTTCGGTGCCCGCATTCCAAACCCGGATAACCTTGACATCACCAGCAACCAATACTAAGCCCCGTCCCTGTTGCCAGTCGAACACCAGCCCAGCGTTCTTGTTGCTAGATACGAGATCAGTCAACGCTCTGAAGCCAGTGACCAGTTCCGTTCGCCCTTTGGAGTCGTAGTTGCGGAAGATCTTTATGACACCGTCGCTTGAGCCCGTCATTAGTAGAGCTTGGTCATCTTCGTTAATGAAGCGAACGTCTGTGATTCTCGAGTCTGGAGGATTGCCATTGGAGAAGCAGTTCTTCCTGACAACGGACTTCGAGTAATCAATGATGTTGATAGTATCCCGGTTGTCTGTCACAACAAGGTGGTCTTCGAACTGGTGGAAGCACATCTTCATGGGCTGGCTGAGATTGTCGAAGTAGCCTCGAGGCACATCCCAGCGATTGGAGACCGAGACTTCCTTCAGAGGTTGCGTCTCAGCAATAATCTTATCGTTCCGATTTCTACGCCACAACCTGCCGTTATAGTCTGTGCTACCGGGTTCGTCCGCCTCTGTCGGCTTCATCTGCGGCTCACGGAAGTACTCCACTGACCACTCAAAGAACACACTTTTCAATGGTATCTCTGGCTTTTGCGACAGGTCTCGAGGCCTGAAGCCCCGCGATTTGGGCTCTTCTTCCACGTGGTACTTTTCGGGGGTTTGCGGTCTCGACTCTGGTGCTGTGGCAGCGCTCTCTTCCTTGTTTCTTGAAGACTGCTTCTGAGGTGACGTTGCGGGCTCGTGACTCGTCCATAGATTCTTCAGCGATGCGCCGACGCTTGTTGACTTGCGTATGCTACCAAATAGTGACAGATAACTAGAGTCTTTAGTCGGCGTGGGAGGATGGGACGATTTCTGCTGGTACGATGCGTCCTCCGCAGTACGGCGGATTGGACGAGCAGCCTGAACTTCCTTCACGGCCTCTTCGAAGTGGGACTGTACGTGCTTAGCCAGGGAAGACTCGGACAAAGCTAATAGTATATGGTCCACAACGATGCCCGCCTCCTTGGCGATCTCGGGATGTGGGTCAACAGACATGACCAGCAATTCCTTCCAGATAGCAGAGTATATAGTGTTTTGTGAGCAAAGGCCCGGTGCTGGGGCTGGAACCTCGGGATCTGATGATGTCCGCGATTTCATGAACAGAGCATCACCCTGTTTGTCTTCGGTTTGTGCTGGAGTTGCACTACTCTTTTCGGCCAGGAATTGCTCATAGGCAGCAACAAGGAACCGTGACTTGTAGCGTGCAACAAAAACCGAGAAGAACATGAGCAGTTCTCGCCGTACCATACTGTTGCCATCCATAGTAACGACAAGGACCATGGATGCAATTGACTCTTCGATGTTAGCGACTTGAGCAGTCACATCCCGAATGCCCAAGAAAGACGCCAGAGCGTGCAGCATTGCGGCTCTGACCTCGGCCACAGGATCTACTATAAGCTCGCATAGCCGCTCATGGGCCATGCAGCGAATACCCACCCATTTGGCTTCTTCGAAGTTGACCCAGAGTTTGCTCAAACAAAGACATGACCATTGCCTAAGCAAAGGATTTTGCATGTCTTTGAGATGATCGAGGCAACTCTCTACTAATTCTGTGCTCAGTGATGCACGTTGGCCTTGATTATAGTCTTTACAAAACATGGAGATGATGAAGGCGCACATTGCTCGGTGTTCGCTGGCGTTCTGAATGGGAATACCTATACTACGTTGGCATGCTGTACAACACAAGTTAGGCGCATCACATACCTGAATTGGGATTGAAGATGTTGATGAAGTATTGATATCCGTTGTCTTTGAGCAAATCAGCCTGGCAAGACTGATCAACCGCAAGAATTCGGGCCCATATAAAGACCATAACCGGCTTAAGTTCGTTCGCCTGTGACTGGAGCAGCTTCAGCACGTACGGGAATATGCCGATACTGAGCGCTAGATTCACAGCCCATGGTCCGTGATCTAGGAAGCTCGAAAGAAGAATGAGCGCACGAAGGCGATGGACCTGGCTAAGTAATACTTGAAGCACAATGGGAAGTTGCTCGGGGATCTTCTGCTCCACTGCTCCTTGGGTCAAGTATACCTCAAAGGCTGTCAGCTGCTCCGAGAAGAACTCCGAATGCTTGTAGACGTATTCCTTCTCACCACGCGCTTCTGCCTGGAGATCTGGAAGTTGTGCAAGTATTAGCTCGACAGCTAGATCCCAGCTGCGCCAGAGCGGATGATCGTGGGTTTGAGGGATCTCGGGATGTGAGACAGGATGGCAATGGTAGACGCGCATGATTCTCTGTGCAAGAAGATAGTTGCGGAAGAGTGCGGCTACCATGAGGTCTTGGCGAAACAATTTCTTGAAGAGAGGTTTTGACAACGAGTTCCATGCAATGGTGTCAGTAATGGCCGTGAAGATCCAATTGAGCTCGCCTATGGGCGTTCTACGCTCAGAGACTTTTCCAGGGATGTTGTGGGCGTCTCGGAGACTGACATTGGTGGGGAGTGGATCTTGCAAGATGAAGAATTGCACGGCCATGGTTATAGGATCTGTCAGACATGAGGTGAAGATATCTGCCGGCAGCTCGGGGTTGGTGGGGTAGAGACTCCTTCTCTCTGCACGCTGCCAGGTGGATGCAGTCGCTGAAGTCAACGTACTCAGCATTTGGATCTCTTCGCCGCGCTTCCTCGAAATTCAGTCTGATGTTTCTCGGCAAACTTGTTGAAATTGCTGATGATGAGACCGGCATCGGAGCAATCGTAAACAAAGAGGCTGGGAGCTCCAATCCAAGTCTGCAAGTCATAGAGGGACAGCGGAATGTACTGCGTATAGTTGCGGTTGAACACCCATATTTCGCCTGAACTCGTCGGCTTGGGTACGCCATGGCCATTGTAGTGGAACAGCACCCTCTCGTTCCGCGCATTGCGTCTTAGCGTGGATGTGTATTTCCTCGTCTCTTCTGTGGTAGGGTCGAGGAGCAGCTTGTAGCGAGTGCGCATGCTAAGCTGCTCGTACTGCGTCTGGAGAGCTTTCCCGATTTGGTTCATGGGAGTGTGTCCGGGCGTCTGGGAGGTTACGGTTGGATCTATCCAGCACTCTTCCTTCGCGCATGGGTTGGTCTTGATGACATCCGGAGGGTCCACACCAATGTTGAGGCACAGCGCAAGGACGGCAGAAACAGTCTTCAGCCTGTCTCTCATGCGCCATTCTTGGACGGGGAATGGGCTGTTCTCGCCTTTGGGGTGGCCGCCTGTCTCGTGTTTCTTGTCTGTGTAGTACATGAAGAAGTTCTGTCCAGCTAGTCAGCCTTGTGCACCATCTGTGGTCCTAGAGATTCACACACAGATGTCAATAAGTTCGAGTACTCCTCCGAGCCCAGCTGGTCGGCCCAACCATGGCGAATGGTGAAATGCCCGTCAACGCTGCCCTCGTCGGCACTCTCTGTTGGCGGCGCAGGAGGGCGGGGCCCGAAGTCGCTTTTTGCGCGCAGCATGCCTGGCCGGCCAGAGGTGCCAGTCGAAGCACCCTGGGCAGCTCCAGCTTGTTCATCTCGAAGGACCCTGCTGATTGATCTGCTGGTCGCGGCGGTGCCAGGGCGCGAGGATGATGTGCCGTTGGACTCTTGGATTGCCGGCGCATCTAGAGCCATGTTGTTTGCTCCGGCGTGGACGGTCGCATGTGAGGCCAACGGATTGGGGTGTGGATGGCCGTTGCGGAGGGGCAGGTCGTCGGAGGGTCTCATGGTGGAGGCGCGCAGACGATGCCCATGTCTGGGGATCTGCTACGTGTGCAAGGCAAGCGCGACCTTGCGAAATGGCGGGTTATATGAGCCGTTGGACGTGTTGGATTGATTGCAGCAGATTTGCGTCAGTGACGCTGCCCGAGTGCTACATGGACCGCGGTGAGCATTCGCGTCAAGCTTCGCGCCCAGTGCACATGAGACTAGGCGCGAAGGGGACGGCGGTGAGTCACGTGAGCTGCAGGCCGCTGCACTCCACAGTTGGTACATATTCCAGTGCCGAGGGCGACGGTACGTGGCTGCATGCCTCTAGAGCCACTGCGCGGGCGATCAAGACAGCGGAGCGTTACGAGAGTGTCTCGCACTTCACAGCCACACGAGAAGCCTTGGAAGGCCAGCGGCGATGGCAGCCAGACGTCTGGTTATTGTTGGTTATTGTTGGTCCGCCGTGCATGTGCATGCTCGGTGCAGCCAATGGTGGCGCGTAGGGAGCCCTGTCATGGCTGTAGATCCTCGCGTTCTCAGGGGCGCCGCGAGAAGTAAATCGGGTCTAGGGAGCACTTCCGCTGGTCATTTGCAGTAGCCAGCAACGAACACTTTGGCCTTCGCTTGTCTGTAACTTTGAAGCCAACGTCCGTCTGTTCGCGCTGCCCTGTGCAAGCTGCATTACTGGTCTCAAACCTAGTATCTTGCCTAGGTAATACCTGCGAGACTACCGTCTTACAGCGATTGTCCCGCCAAGTCACCACCACCATCGCTACCACGCCTCATCGCTACCGTACACCACCCGCCGCAACGTCCTTGGACCTGTGCACCCCGGCGACGCTGTGAACGACATGCGCGCAGCCCTCCTTCACCACACCCCCGCCTGACCTGCTTTCGAGATCCCGAATTCGGCACCTGTCCCCAGCCTCCAGCCTCCCTTCGGCGCACAACATCTCCACGAGCCATCGCAGGCCGAATGCGTGCTTGACCGGCACCGGCGCCCTCCACGACGCTCCCAGTCTAATCTGACGCCATGTCCTTCCTCTTCGGCAAGAAGAACAAGCAGCAGTCCAATGCGCTGCCGGCAGCCACCCGCGAGATAACTTCCTCACACGGCCCGGCACCACCACCAGTCGGCGCTCCTCCCAACGGTGCAGCCATTCGTGATGGCGAGAAGAACCGACCTGGTCCGCAGTCGCAGACGCCTACGCCAGGGAGCAGCGTGAACAACTCGTTCAGTTCTCTCAACAACCAGGGCAATGCGACAGCGCCAGAGCCAAAAGCACTGCGGGACCGCGCAGACCCCAACCCACAGGTATGTTTGCGCAGACGCACCCTCTCAAGGTGGCCTCCGCACAAGTGGCCGCGCGTCGACTAACAACATCTGCAGAATGCCAGAGGCCTGGGTAGCGCACCAGACTCCCCATACCCGTGGGCGTCCCGACGTCTCAATTTCACCGCCGGCAACCCATTTCCACGTTACGGCGCCGCCATAAATTCAACTGCATCCAAGGATGGCACAATATACCTCATGGGAGGCCTTGTTGGTGGTGCGACTGTCAAGGGCGATTTGTGGCTGACCGAGATGGGCAACGGAAGCATGGCATGCTACCCTATTTCCACTACAGGAGACGGGCCTGGGCCGCGCGTAGGGCATGCCAGTCTGCTGGTGGGCAATGCGTTCATTGTATTTGGCGGTGACACGAAATTGGCCGACAATGACGACTTGGACGATACGCTCTACTTGTTGAACACATGTAAGTCTGCCGCTCATGGGCTCCAATCGCACCAGCTCATGACTTACAGCCACGAAACACTGGTCCCGCGCATTACCACAAGGCGCTCGTCCTACCGGCCGCTACGGGCACACATTGAACATCCTCGGTTCAAAGATTTACATTTTCGGTGGACAGGTCGAGGGGCTGTTCTTCAACGACCTAGTTGCATTTGACCTGAACTCACTGCAATCCTCGACCAGTCGCTGGGAGGTTCTCCTGCCGAACAGCAAGGATCAGGTCTCCCCCCAGGGCAGATCACCACCTGCCCGTACCAACCACTCTGTAATTACCTGGAACGACAAGCTATATCTGTAGGTGCTCTGAAGTACTACTCCCGTCTAGCAGCTAACTATCTACAGATTCGGTGGCACTGACGGCATTACTTGGTTCAACGACGTCTGGACATATGATCCGCGCACAAATGCGTGGGCTGAGCTCGACTGCATCGGCTACATTCCAGTTGCGCGGGAGGGACATTCTGCTGCGCTTGTCAACGACACCATGTACATTTTCGGTGGCCGTACGCAGGAAGGCGTTGACCTTGGTGACCTTGCAGCTTTCCGCATCACATCTCGCCGCTGGTACATGTTTCAAAACATGGGCCATTCACCGTCAGCGCGATCCGGTCACAGCATGACTGCATTCGGGAAACACATTGTTGTCATGGCTGGCGAGCCTAGCTCTTCAGCCAGTGATAGGAACGAGCTCAGTCTTTCCTACATCCTGGACACTTCAAAGATCCGTTATCCGCCCAACGAAACTGCACCCCCTCAACAAGCGCTGAACACGCCCCGCAAGTTGAGTGGTGGTGAAAGGAGCGGTATTCCTCAAGGCAAGACTCCCCCTCCAAGGCGCGAAAGCATGTTGCCTGGACCCCAACTGTCCCGAACCCCTGATGCCATGGGCAACAACGTTGGTGCTGGTGGATCGCGCTTACCTCGTGCAGCTGGCCAACCACCACCCGGTCCTCCACCACTACAGCAACCTCCGCAGCCTCGCGTCAACGGAGCCAATGTGCATGGCATGGCCAATGGCAGGAGCAGGACACCAACTAAAGGCGATCGAACATATGGACCTCCAATAGATACCGGCTTTGCTGGCACGCTCGACCGAGAGAACCGATCACCCTTGAGCAACGACAGTCCTTTGACTGCAGATCTGTCCCGAAAGACTTCCGACGCCGTGAGTCAGCGAACGCCCAAGGAGTCTATAGACACCACACGTTCTGGCAGTGTAGGATCGAGAAACACGTCTCGTTCGCACCGCCAGCAGTTGTCGCAGGATAGCGCTGACCATTCTACACCGAGGCGCTCAATCGAAACGCAGCAGCAACGAAGTATGAGTCGTGATGCTGAACGTCGCCCAATCGATAGTGGACTAGGCGCATCTCCCGCGACTAATCAACAAAACGATGACCTTCTTCGCGATCTAGAACTCGCTAAGAGTCGAAACGCATGGTATGCCTCGGAGCTTGCGCTGGCCCGTAAAGCGGGTTACAATCCTACCTCAACCAGTCCTAGCTTCGATGAACGGTCTACCGAGTCTCTTCGAGATGAAGACAAACCACTGCTCGAAGCTCTTTTCAAGATGAAATCTGAACTTGAGCGCGTACAAGGTTCTATCAAAAGTCAGGGCGAGGACGCAGCGAAGAGAATCGGCCGAAGTTGAGAGACAACGTGACGCGGCTGTGAATGAGGCCATCTACGCTAAGACGAAACTGGCTGCTCATGGCGGTGGTAGCCAAAGCGGCACGCCCCAACCAGATGCAACTCGCAGTACAGCAACACCCGACCAGGATCGCATTCAGGACATCAGATCGCCGATTGGTTGCATCGTTGGCTGCCCACAAGTGAGTTGTCTAAAAAGCTGGGCAAGATAACCTCTGAACTGGAGGCGGAGAAAAGGGCGAAGCAGCTTGCAGAGGAGACTGCGGAAGCAGCTCAAAATCGTGTGCGTGAGCTCGACTCTACACGACAGAAAGCTACAGCCGAATGTGAAAGTCTTCGAGCTGATCTGCATGAAGCCGAACGGGTGGCACGTGAAGCATCTGCCAGTGCGGCAGAAGCAGAGACATCAGCCAAGCTGTTGGCTGTGGATAAGCAAGAGATGAGTTCAAAGCTCGCAAGATTGACTGAGGACGCGACGCGGCATGTGTCTTTACTTGGGTCTTTGCGAGACGCCGTAGCCTCGTCATCTGACAAGACTGCTCTTCTGGAGCAGAGGCTCGAAGAGGAGAAAGCTCAGAGTGAGCATCTTCGACAAAAGCTCGCCCAGCTTCGGACTGAGCACGAACTTGGCATGACAGAGTTAGAAACTGCATCACAGAAGCTGCGCGACGCTGAAACGATTGCTGAGAAGCATGCCGAGGAGGCCCGCCATCATCGTCAAGCGGTCATGGCTGGTTTAGACAGGGCTGCCGGACCTTCGGACTGGAATTCCAATGCAATGGACGAACGCGTGATTATTCTGCAACAGCAAGTCGAATCTGCCAACGTTATGGCACGTAAGAACCAAGCTGCTGCTGATCAAGCATCCGAGAAACTACGCCGTGCGGAGGAGAGGATCGCTGGTCTGGAAGCTTATCAGGAGCAGTCCAGTCGGGAAGGCCTCACGATTCGCAAACAACTCCAACAGTCTATGCGAGATATGCAGGCCTCGGAAGCTGAAAAGGCGGAGATCCATCAGCGTCATGAACGTCTACGTCTTGAGAGCAACGCATTTGAGGTCCAGTTGAAGAGTCTGAGAAATCTTCTCGAGGAGCGAGGTGTCAACCCAATGGACGCCCGACGCTCGAGAGTCCTGGACAGTCCAAACTCTCGTTTCGGCACCCCCGAACTCAACCGCGTGCGAGAACTCGAGCAACAAATCGACTCGATGAACAAGGTGCATGAGGAACTCAGGACCGTTTTCGAGCAGCGTGAGCATGAAGTAAGCAAGGAGTGGGAGGAGAAGCTCCAAGCCCTGCATAACGATCATCAAGCTGCGGTCAAATATCTACGTGGCACCGAGAAAATGCTCGCAAAGATGAAACAGGAACTTGACCGCTACAAGACTGCGAACTCCAAACTTGAGGAAGAGTTAGAGCAGGCGCGAAGTTCTACTCGCGGTCCCACCGAGGAGCAGAGTAGTCAATGGGAGACAGAAAAAGCACAGCTCCGCTCAGAACTGTCAGAATCACAAGAGAAGACCAAGGCCACGGTTACCAATCTTGAACAACAGCTTGCCAGGATGCAGGCAGAAGTATCTGCTGCCCGCCAAGAAGCAGAAGCTGCCACCACTCGAATGAAAGAAGCGGAGTCGTCTGCTGAGCAGACACGCGGCGACCTTGAGGCTCTCCGCCGCCAGCATGTGATTGTCGAGGAACGAGCCCGCGAGGCCGAGAGCCGTGTGCAAATATTCCTGGACCAATTCGAGACCTCTGTAGACACTTATCGACGCCAGTCTCAGCTGCCCGCTGGCAGTACCAATGGAGAACATACCCGCCATCGAAACCACGACAGCATCGCATCAGCAGAATCGCTCTACAGCGAGAATGACGGTTCCAGTACGCCCGATGCCTCAGCTCGACGAGGTTCTACTGCGACACGTAACTCGATGGCACTAGACAACCTTGCTTCTGAACTGGATGCACTGAGGTCGCACTGGGAAACGACCAACAAAGCCTACCGCTTGAGCGATCGTTTCGACTTTGAAAAGAACCCTACGGCCGACAAGAACGATATGGATGAATCTCTCTCACAATGGCGGAAACACGTGAGCTCGGAGAGCAACGGTGAAGTTGCGTCCGAGGAACAGAGGACGCCAACAGCGCAGACTCACCCCAAGGCACCCGCTGCAGTGACCGCAGGGTCATCTTAAGCGTGAATGGCTACGACTTGTCAATGTTGATCTTCGTCCCTTGATGTTATATTGAAAGTTGGTTCATTAAATCACGCCATCGCGCACCGTCACAATGTAAGAATACCCATTTGTTTTTGGGGGTGGGATATCTTGGATGTTTACACAGCTGCCTTTATGAAAAGGCGTTTTTCTTCTTTTAATGTTTTGTCGACTCGGAGTCCAGGATCCATGACTGCCAACAGGCTGCATATGCAGCATGGTTATATGAGTAATTGTCGAGTCATCTAATCATCATTTATTCTCGTTTTTTTAACGTGTTCTTTTGATTTCAGTGATGTTCATTTTCATTTGTGTGGTGGCTGAGCTGACAAGAGCTTCTGAAACAACACCAAGTCTTTGTGTGACCTATGAAGCAGCGCAAAACTAAAGAGTCACATGGACTCTTCACGGAAATTTCGTCTTACTTACCCTACCTGTAGATGATTGCTCTGCGACGTTGCAAAATTGCGAGCACGCCTAGTGTGGAAGGTAAGCGTGTAAAGGCCCGATGGCCGGCCTTGTCCATAGGCGCCCATTGGACATAAACATTCCGCCATTTACCACGGCTTAGGTTTGCGACAATAGCAGTCTCATATTATTCCAGTTTACCCCATTCCCGGCCCTTACATGGCACTTACATATAGTTGACACTGGTAGCCGGGCGAGCCCCCGCTGTAATTCACAACGTAAGGCACATACCAACCACACCCCACTCACAACGTTCACTAACAAAGGGTCACATAAAGCGTTCACAGCCATACAACATGCACTGTTGGAAATTCTGAAACATTAAAGAGCTGTCACATAACACACAACGGTTCCTTTCGCGCTTTGCTGGTACTTTGCGCAGATCATAATCTTCCTCCAACTCTAATCTCTCGCTCGACAAGTAAAGATTCCTTATTCCCGACTGGCAACGATCATTTTACGAACCACCTAACTAGCCTTACGTACTACACTACACTCAAGATCTTACACAATGTACACACGCAATCTTCTCAGCGTACTCCCCTTCATAACCTCCTCACACGCTCTCAAGCTCATCATCTCCTCGTATGGTCCCCAGCCATATGGCTCACCAGGAACTATCAGTACCCTCGTTCACACCAACGGCACCAGCAGCTTGGAAGTGACCCAAAAGAACCAAGACTGCGGTTCGCAGTCCAGCTGGCTCGAGGTTTCTCCGGACAAGACCAAGGTGCTATGCGTGGATGAATTCAACCCAACGGGAAGCATAACGATGCTTTCCCTCGACAGCGAGGGAAAGCTAACGAAGCTGTCCAACGCGAGTACGCTCGGCGGACCGGTCTCGAGCGCTTTCTTCGGCAAGGACGATAGCTCTATTGCTTTGGCTCATGTACGTATTCACCCGACCTCCCAACTCTATGAGCAGTATCACTAACCATTTCCGCAGTACACCCCGGCCTGGTATTTCCACGTTTGCAGTCACAGACAACAACACCTTTCCAGGCCATGCAGAACTTTACCTTCCCCAGCAAAGATCGCCAACGCCTCGGTCCCAGCGCGCCAGGACACCGCGCATGTCCACCAAGCCCCTCCGCGACCCCTTTGGCCAATACGTCCTTCTTCCCGGATTCTCGGCGCCGACCTCGTGCGCATCTACGGCGTTGGCCTGGCCAACAAGTCCCTCACCGAGCAACCGCCCCTCAAAGCCAAGGCTGGCTACGGCCCGCGCCACGCCGTCTTCTGGCAGCCTGACGGCAAGCCCTGGGACACGAAGCTCTTCCTGCTCCACGAGCTCAGCAACAAGATCGTCTCCTACAACGTCACGTATCCCGAATGCGGTGGTCTGGAATTCGCCGAAGTAGGCGAGTTCAGCATGTTTGGCGACAAGGAGCCGCCCGCGGGCGCCGGCGCCGCTGAGATCTTGACCTCGCCAGACAACAAGTTCATCATTGCGTCGAACCGGCTGGCGCCGATGTTCACGGTGCCGAATGCGGATCCGAAGAACGAGACGAAGATCCAGAGCGATTCCATCATCACGTTCAAGCCGCTCGAGTCGGGCCAGTTGGAGTTTGTGGAGATTGTCGCGAGCGGCGGGATGAAGCCCAGGCATTTCAACTTGAATACCAAGGGCGATAAGATTGCGGTTGCGAACGGTTTGTCGGAGAACGTTGTCGTGTATCAGCGTGATGTTGAGACGGGCAAGATTGGCTCGGACCCGATCGCGAGTGGGTTTGGACTCGGTGACGTGACGAATGTGCGATTTTTAGACGAGTAGATGGTTCTTATATTGCATTGCATTCGGTTTGGAACGCATAGCATTAGCATAGGAGGAGTCAGGCGCTTTGTAACAGTAAGACTGGGAGGATGTACTAAATCTGTTAAGATTCGAATGTAGTTGATTTATACCATTGCTTTCCATTCAGATGCCGCTGAATTTGCCACATGTCATGATTTCGGTTCATTGTGTCCACTTCTCTTGTGCAACTGCCCAAGACACTGCATCCCAAACATCGCCAACCTGTGATAGTAACCAAATTAGTGTTTGTGTCGTTTAACTAGTGCACATAAAAATCATGACTTACAATCTTACGAGGCTGGTGTGCCGGCGTCGTGCCTTCTACAAACACACCAGTCTGCACTAGAATGCTCGCCCAATCTGTTCCATATGGGCTTTTGTAGTTGTTGCCTCCAGCAATATCACTCGCCGGATTATCTCCAACCATGTAAACACGCCTTAATGGTTCCAGGTTGGCGCCTGACCGTGTGATGTCTTGTCGATGTGCAATCAACCGCTTCTCGGCAAATTCATAAGTCGGCTGGTATGGTTTACCCATGACGATCTTTTGAAGCTCAACTCCCTTCTTTGGACCGCCTGTCACAGCTGCCCATATGCCTTCGAGCGCCTCACGGAAACCTCCTTGTCCTAAACGTGGCAGGTGGTACTTTGCGGCCCACAGTAGATCCGGGTTGGAAAAGTAGATTGGTGGCTGTCCGTCCTGCTGGTAGCCATGGTTTGGTAGACTTGAATTGCCGTTCTTGGCGGAAAGCGTGCCCATGATGCCGCGCTCAGATAGCATAACATCCTTGAGGATCTGCGCATCAAGGCCCCAGTCGCGTGGGTCGTTGTATACAAACACGGCGTCTATGCGCAGTGAAGTCGAAGGAGAGGAAGGGTCGATGGGCGCAGGCAACGGGCGCGCAAACGTGCTGTAGTATGAGAGGAATTGCTGGGAGAATGGCCAGACATCGGGATTTGCGGCCAATATATCAGCAGGCGTGACAACAGTCTTGAATCTATGTAGACATCAGTGAATGTGCACCACAACACGAAATCAAGACCTACCCGTATGCCTCTGCAACAGCTCTGCACTTATCGCCCTCTCCACCCACCACCATGACAGTCTTATCCTTGTACTGCTCCATATCCGCGAACGGCGTATGACTCTGCACGAACATGCTAGTATCCATCTCCACGCCCAGCTTCCTACTCAAATCCCGCACGCGCTCCGACTCATGTTTCCCACCTCCATTCGTCAACAGGATAAACGGGATGCGCTGCGACTGGAGGTAGGATAGGGCCTTGGTGGCGCGAGGCAACGGATCGGAGCTGCGGACGAGGACTCCATCGATACTGACAGCCGTCAGTGGTGGTCGGAGCAGGGGGGGTGGGCGAGCCGCTCAACTCGAATGCGAAAGCAAATTCAGGGACTTTGGCAGCCGACGCGACGGTTTGCAGCGTGCGAAATCGCTGTAGGCGGTAGCTGTAGCATCGAGGCAGTCTCCATGTTGGTCGGAGGGCCGACATTTTGATGCGCACACTTTTGACTTAGGTAGGACATTAATGAGGTCAAGCATCAATGTCATTAGTCAGCCATCGCATAGACAGTCCAAACTTTTGGGATACACCGATACCTGCGGATTATAGCACCAAATTCAAGTGACGATGAGACGGCCATATAGATATCTAGAAATCATCAAACAACCTGATTTTTACGTAGATTCAGGGTGAGCTCTATCTCTTTTGTCGAACTGGTGAAATACCGAGATGTTCTTGCCAGGTTATGTACGTTGTGGGACTTGCGTTCAAAAAAAACGTATGGAGGAATGTATATCTCGCTTGTGTTCTTGGGTGCTACATGTGAATCGAATATGGTGAGTTCATTGCTCAATCATAACGCAGGGCATCATCATCCAAACAGGCAAGAATGGCAGGACGATGTCGGTGTAGAACAGTTAATATAGGCGGGGCATATTCGAAAATTAGTACATTCAATTGCCTACTTCCTGGCTTAGCTGCTAGGTCTAAAACTAAAAAGTCTCGCATGCCAAAGAAACGCCTTGCCAATCGATGAATGACCAGCATAAACAATGCAATCCACGCATCGGATTTATTGGCGCTAAGTCAGCGACTCCAGGTCAGCAGAATAAGAAAGACTTGGCTCTCCTCTAAGGATGCCATGATGCCCAACTTGCATGACTTTTCGCGTCAATGGCCCGTTGTTGCCGCCCAATCACCGACGGTGCAGCAGTGAGATAATGACGTCTGCTTGAGCCTTACTGCACATGTCAACGACGTCAAAGTATGGAACCGAGAAATACGCCTAAGTCCCTTTTGTGTGCCGATATCTGTTAGAGACAAGTCCTGATGCAAGATTTGCTGCCCTTGGCTCCTTTTTTGAGGCGCTCTGCTTGGTACGGGCACCAGCTGTAGAGTTGGCGCGAACAGACCAGGTGTCTTGTCCCAGCTTCGCGTTGCTTTCGACCTTTCTCAGCCGACCTCGTGATGCGGGAGTTATCATTTCCGATTTCCTAGAGGCGCTCCGTAAAGAAGCAGGCGTGATATTGGGAGAACAGTCTTCATCCGATTCGGTTTGCATTGGAGTCATTGGTCGATCGAGCGAGTATGATGTTGATCGGGATACACCACGCGATGCCTGCTTGATGGACTTCAAGGCGCCTTCCTTGGCTTTCTTAGGCTGGAAGCTGACCTTGGTTATGCGAGTTGAGCGTTTTAAAGGTACCTTTCTCCGCAAGGGTGCGCGACTGCCAGCTGGAGTGGACCGTTTCAATGCACGAGTTTCACGGGAAGCGATCTGACGGGAATGCTCAGCGGCCTCCCTCCCAGCTCGCTCACGTGCCATTTCCGATTGGACACCAGTGTTCTTGGTCTTGGTTGTGATGGCATTACCAGTGTGCAGCTTTCGCTTTTTTGTTGAAGTGTGATTGTCTTCGGACTTTGCTCGCACTGAACCCAGAAGGGTTTGGAATTTGCGTTTCGTACCTGCGATAATGGTGGATGCGATAGACTTGTCTTCAACTGGCTTTTTGGGCTTTGGACCAAGTACACCACGACAAGATGCAGTGCCACACCGGCATTGTTGTATGTTCTTTTGTGAAAATGGACTACTATGGTTAGCTTGTCATGTCCTATCACGATGAGATGGGATCGCTCACTCAAAGTTGTAGTCGTAGGTGAGTTCTTCGCCAGTCATGATACCCCGTGGGCCTGCGAATAGGGCCATCCGAGGTTCTCCGCCAACAGTCCATTTGATCATCTCGCAATTGGGTTCGCATGAATGATTAACGAACCGAGCAATGGTGCCCCGAGTAGCATCGATGATCATCTTGTTATCGAAACTCATGAGATAGTAGCACTACAAGCTGTTAGACGATCGTTAACGACGGAGTGGGTTAGCTAGCTCACCTTGTCCTTTTTGTATACTTGCTTCATGCGTCGCTCGCATTCGGACTGAGTGATGATCTCTCCGGCATACTCAACGATGATCTGGTGAGGCTCAAACATTCTCATCGCCCGCACTCCATACCCACGATCGGGAGTGTCCGTGACTTCGACTCCGTAGTCATAGCGGTTCCCCTTGGCACGACGCTTGAGCTCGGCGAAGGGGCGATTGCCGCATAGTTCTGGCCCCAGTGGACAGTTCGTGTTGTCGCATTCGTAGGCCATGATGCGGTTGTGGCAGGCCTCACCACATCCGTCTTCAGCATCGCAATAGCATTGGGACGCGTCTTGTTTGTCGCGTTTCCACAAAGCGGACGCCTCGCCAATGAATCTGTCTTGGAGATTGTCAGCAACATGTTCCGCTCAAGAACAAGCTAATCTTACTTTTACTCAGCTTCACCCACCCGTCTACTTTCACTTTCCTGGGCAAGGGGTGGTACGTGTCAAAGGGCAATTTGAAGTCCTTGAAGACGTGGTGCGGATCCTCGTTCAAAATGCGATCAGCAGCGAACATGGGCAAGGGAAGGGCCTCGCCATCTTGGCGCTTCTTCGCACGCTTCCTTGCTCGATTCTGGGTTTCAGAGAGACGGGGATTGAAATCGCGATGCTGACCGACGTACAGGCCCTGGCGAAGCCACAGCTTCGTCTTCGACTTTTGAGGCTGCTGGTCACTGGCCCCATCCGCGTCTGACCCGACATCGTCTCCTTTCATGTGCAGGGTGCGCTTCAACTTGCTTGACTGAAGTGCAGGGTCGGATGCGCTCCGCTTAAGAGTGTTCTGGACGAGAGCCTTGCCATCGGATAGCACATTGGCGACAACATTGCCGACGCCTGAAATGTTGCGAAGGGCTTCCTTGCGCAGGTCAGTGACCCGGGAAGATGTGCGACGGCGCGCTGCCTGGGCGGCCTCCGAGACGAGTTGCTGCTCTACTGGATCATCAACATTGGCCGACGCCAGCTTCGCTTTCATTCCTTTCTTCTTCGCAGGTGTTGAGTCGTCCTTGTCGTCCGTGGGGCTGTCAATTGAACCATGCAGGACATTCTTGTGATGCTTCTCCAGATATTTTGTCGGAGTATGAATAGCTGTGCCAGCGAGAATCTGAACATTGTATGTAGCGACGGACTTGCGAGAGCTTCGCGCTGATCGCCGGCCATCGCTGGGTGGCACATCCTGCGGGGGTCCAGGCGTGTCAGGCGCGTTTTCTAGGCCCCGGGGAACGTGATTGCCCTCAGTCACTTCGCTCGACTGCTCGGCCTTTGTAGTGTCGGACAGGACGCTGCATTCGTCGTCAAGGCTGGTAGGCGGTGTCGAGATGGAGGGTGACGCGCTTGACATGATGCGAGCATCGACCTGCTTCTCGGTCTGCACGGTTATGTTAGACAGCGTCGACGATGTCGATGTCGGTGATGCGTCTCGCGCTGCCATGTCTAGTGATGCGCAATCGCGGGTCGCGTTGCGATGAGTGGTGGTGCGGCGAGGCAGTGACGCGAAGGAGAGGAGAGGTCGATGGACTGGCGGACCCGTGGCGCTCGCGCAGCAACACTGCCAAAGTGTACGCGCTGCACACAAGCGGCGATCTTCGCAACGTGTAGTTATGTCGACAGAGCCTGCAAGAATGATATGACGGGCTTTGGGGGCAGATAGGCACCGTGCAGCGAAGTGGAGTCGTGATATGGAGGTGTGCAGGAGGCTTGGAGAGGAGGTAAACACATGCAGCTAGTCAGTCGGCCAATTAGGCGCTCCCTGATCCTGTCCAGTGTTACCACGCATTCCGCCGTATTTCGCGCTCTACCTACTGTGCGTGCTTTGTGAACTAGAATTCGCTCGTCCATGTCGAACAATCAGTTGGGCGTACTTCACAATGACTTCTATAGAGACTATTGCATACGTTCATCACAGCGAACGCGTATCTGCGGTTTATTAACAGCGCAACGCAGACTATTGTGCACCATACATGTTCATGGGACAGGACGAGTGCACATCTTGCGAACTGAATCCGGCAGAAGTCTCTGCGAAGAAACTTTATTGATTACTATATACTTGGGATTGGGGTGACATCTTTCCTCCCTGTAGGGCCCTGGAATGCTTCAGATGCGCCCACATCCTGCATCTCCAAGGCTCCACCCTGCTGTTCAGTGGCTAACGGGGCAGTTCGCTTGTCTTTGCGCGATCCAAAACGCTGGTCTCCCTCCTCGTATGATTTCTTGAAATGGAGGTAAGTAGGTGGCCGCGGTCGTTGCAAGACCGCCAACCAGTTTTTGATGATTGAGCCTTGCGTGAATGGCCTATGCCTGTCTTTCTTCATGAACTTGTGGGAGTTCAGGTATTCGCGTGTAGTTTCTCCGCGGCCCACAAGAAACAGATGATAAATGCCAAGGCTGAATGGATAGGCCCAGCTCACAAGACCATAGATAGCCATTGCAAAGGGAACACGCCATTTGTCAATGGCTGCGCCAAAGGAAGCGTCGTTGCGAGACCGCCATATAAGGAGATGCGCTAGGCTGGCCCCCAGCAGGAAGAGTCCAAGCAGGGTGGTGGCGCAAACGAAGACGAAAAAGTAACGGTAGTTTCGACGTCCAACACAATTGTTGAGCCATACGCAGTGGTGGTCCTGAGTCTCGATGCAGTTGTCACAAACGCGGCAGTGGTGGGCACGAGGCGGCCGCCAGATATTGCAACTCTTACAGTACTTGGTTGGGACCTCCATTGCAGCGTTATTGCCAACGGCAGAAACAACCATTGTCCACTCTGTGGTTGGCGGTCCGAGATTCAAGGGGTCATCATTAGGATTACTTGGAGGAAATGGATGCAGATTGCGGGGTAGTATCTGACATGGTCAGTGGTGCGTCAATGAATCGGAGGAGCTCGACAACTTACGCCCGGATCTGAAGCTGAAGCATGGAGAAAGGATGAAACTGATACGAGGAACAAATAGGCAAAGAGAATGGGTATCGATGGAGAAACATTGAGCCAGAGCCATGGCGCACTAGAGGTCGCAGTCAGAGAAGCAGTTTGCAAATGAGTGGAGTGGGCATACTTACGAATAGCCGAAGAAAAGGCCAGCGGGTAGAATGATAAGTATTGCCGTAGCTATGTTGACAGGGCGGTCGCGGGTGTTCTGCAACCGGCCACCCCAGCAAAAGGCAGTGTTGCCAGAGAAGTATTCGTGGTTCTTACCCAGCTCCTTTCTGACGGCGTCCTTCGACATCTCTTTTCGGGCGAGACGAGGCGAAGACTCGGCCGATGTAAGCTTTTCGTGGCCTTGATTTGGGCGCATCTGTGTAGTCCGCCCATCACGACTAGACAATAAAAAGCTGGAACGGAACGACCGTGGAGATTTGCTGGGCGTGGGGAGCTTTCCCGAGTCGCTCCTGTGCACATTTGCAAGATCAAGATGTTGTGGCCGGGGACGCTGGAGGGGAGTCGTGCTTTCGCCACGGCTGCGCACCGTTTCGGCCCCTGTGGGGGTGCTGTTGGCAGTGGTGCGATCAGGCATGTCTCTGTCGGTAATGTCTGTGCCGCGTGAAGGGGGAGGTTGGTCCAGCTCGTGATGCAGGCCCAGGGTAGGGGTGCGCATTGTCTGTGTCGAGCCGATGCTCTGGCGGTAGGAGTTGGCAGGCGCATCGTGTGTGCCTTCGGAATAGAGGGAGCCGTTGGCAAGCAGCGAGTTGGGGCGCTGGTTGCGCTGCTGCTGCAGGCGCTGCGAGCTCATAGGGCGAAAGAAGCCATGCGCGGCCAGAGGGACATGTGTTCTGCTTGCGGCCGTCGTCGGTCTGCTTTGGGGACCCAGGCTGCCAGAGACGCTGATGCCGCTCTGCACGCCACCGCCCGTGCGGAGAGCCTCTGTCCGCGACCATCGTTTCTGGCTGCCCGAATGCGCCGTCCCGATGGACGATGGGCGCGAGGGCGGCAGGCCCGGCTCTCCCGCGGGGCCCGTCACGGCCCAGCACGCGGCTGCCACTTGAGAGGCGCTTCTGTTCGGGTGTCGTCATGGCCTAGAGGATGTCGCGGTCGCAGTGCACGTCGTTACCAGCTGCATGACATGTAGGCAGGAAAGGGCGCGGGTCCGGAAGGGTAGGAGACGGGGAGGAAGGAGCGACGGGGTGAGAAGGAGCGTGGGAGTTCGGTGGTGGCGGGAGGCGGTCGCAGTGCCGTGAATCGGCGTGTTGTGATGCGGGCTGTCTTTGCGACAACGAAGATTGCAAAAGGGGCGTGAGGTTGATGCCGTCGCTGCTGCAAGGACCCCCCATGTCTCGCTATGCTGCCTGAGGCTAGCCTCGCCAGTGACGCAGGACCCGTGCAAGCTTGGCGGCCGCTCGCTGCTGAGTTTCGACATCGAACCACCGACGTAAAGCATCCGCACTCCCACCCCCGCAAGAAACGTACGCTCCCCGGAACTAGGCACCATGTCTTCTATCATCGCCCGCTCTGCCTTCCGCGCCGCTCCCCGCCTTCGCGCCTCTCCTGTGACCCGCCGCTGGGCCAGCGCCGCCGCCGAGGGGGAGAGAGAAGCTGGCAAGCAGGCGCTCCAGACCGGAGCCAAGCGCGACCCTGAGCTCTATGTATGCAACAGATACGGGCTTCTCTCACGACGCTATCACGAGCTAATTGGCTGCGACAGGTCCTCCTGGCTATCATGAGTGGTGTCTTTGGCCTGGCAGGATGGCACTTTTGTGAGCACTCATAGCAGGCACATAGGGTGCAGGCATCTTTGTGCTGACTGAGTATAGCCCGCTCTCCTACCAGCGCCTCGTCTGAGCGAGCTGTTGCCAAGGCCGAAGGCAGCGAGCCCTGGAAACAAGAGGGAAGCACCGGTCCCTACCAATACCACCCTGGCGGTGACACCAGCGTTAAGAAGGATGCGCCTTCGGCTCTAAACGTGGTGGTCATTCCTAACGTGACACTCCCCAAGGTATGGAAGTGCAATTCAGCCATGCATCAGTTGTATTGACCCGACTATAGGAGCTCCACGACACCTACAACAAGTGGGGCAAGGACGGATACTAAAAGGTCGTGGCAAGCCTTGACGCTTGAGTTGCACTCGTGGAGGGGCCACGATCCAACGGCTCTAAGATTTTCTATGTTTTGCAAAGACACATCTGTATATACCTAGAGCACTCGTGGGTGATCAGGACCTTCGATGTCAGGCATCAACAATCACAAATTTGAACTTCAGTGAAAATTATAGCAAACATCACCAGCGACTCGAGGTATCTGTAACTCTTTGGAGTTGTCGGTGAGCCTGGTATAGCTGTGACAGTTGGTCGTTGTGTACATTTGTTATCGTCTATGGGTATCTGGTCATTTTTGGTATATTCTCGTAGTCGGCCTTTGGGCTGCTCCAGTCTTCATAGCCTCTTTCGAATCTCCTCAACCATGTTAGCTCTGTCGACAAGAACGCCATCCTTTTCCGGGTCGTTCTCGTCCTTGATGCCCAAGACTTTGATCTTAACCTTGCCGTTCTTCAGCTCATCCTCACCCAGAATCACAGCAAGTGGAACACCCGCCGACTCTGCCTGCTTGAATTGTTGCGGTAGCTTGGGCTTGGCCTTGTAGGAGAATTCTGCTTTGAGACCAGCAGCCCACAGCTCTTGCGCAACTTGCATACGTTCCGTCAACATGCCGGTGAACCCCTTCCCACCAAATGCCATGACAAATGCGTCGACATCTTTGGCGCGCTGCGTCGACTGCCCCTTTGCTTTCATGATGCTCATGATGCGGTCGATGCCAAATGAGATACCAACACATGGAATGGGCTTTCCGCTGAACATTCCCACCAATTCGTCGTAGCGGCCACCAGCTGCAACACTTCCGACGCCAATCTCTTGCTGTTCTCCTTGTACCCGTGGTGCAGACCCCTCTGTGACGACCTCATAGATGACGCCGGTATAGTAGTCGAGACCCCTGGCCAAGGACAAGTCGAACGATATTCGCTTTCGAGCGCCGAACGCATCTAGATACGCGAAGAGCTTCTCCATATCTTGTACGCCTTTGCAGACATCCTCATTCTTAGAGAGCGCCTCATCTGTCTTGAGAAACTCGATGATATCATCGCCGCCTTTTCTCTGTACCCAGTGTCCAACTTTATCTGCAACTTCTGAATCAAGGCCTTTTGTCTCCATTTCCTTCTTAACTTCGGCCCACGGCAGCTAAATTGCGTCAGCAAAATTGTTGTCTACGAAGCATATTGTAAATTACCTTGTCCAACTTGTCCACTGCTGAACTGATTGGCCGTATCAGGTTCTCCGGTACACCGGCGGCTTTGAAAATACCGTCGAGCACCTTCCTGTGGTTGATTTTGATCGTATAGGACTCCCACTTGAGGGAATCAAATACGTCTGTTGCGATCTTGAGGACCTCGGCGTCGGGAATCATGGCATCGTAGGAGCCCGCAATGTCGAAGTCGCATTGGTAGAATTCCCTCAGCCGTCCTTTTGTCATGGCAGGCTGGTCGCGGCGGTATACTTTGGCGATTTGATAGCGCTTGAAGCTCTGCACGCTGGGGGTTCATGGCGAGCCAGCGCGCCAGTGGTACGGTGAGATCGTAACGCAGCGAGCATAGTTCCCCACCCTGATCCTGCAAATCATAGATGAGTTTTGAGTCCTCACCATACTTGCCGCTCAGAATCTCCTTCAGCTCGAAGACTGGCGTATCGAGGGTCGTGGCGCCGTGGCGCTTGAAGACGTCGGTCACAGTGTCGAAGAGACGGTCGCGGAGGGCGGCATCTTCGCCGGTCCCTATTTCTGTTAGCGATTGACGCGAGGGACAGGTCGGCGCGCAATGAACGTACAGTCGCGCGTACCCTTGGGCACCTTCAAGTTGAAGTTTTTACTGGCTTTGTCTTCCTTGCCCATATCGTCATCGAACCCCACCAAAGATTGGGTGCAGTAAAGGCGCGGGGGGGAGAAACACGCACGATATTGCGCGGTGATAAATTTGCTGTGGGTGGTAATGCGTCGGGAGGCGTAGAGGAAGAACGCGGGGCGGGCGAAGTGGGGTGGGAGCAGCATGAGCAGAGGAGTGACTCAATTACTATGAGCAACCAAACAACAAGCAAGCGCGCGTTCACAAAAGCTGAGCTTCGCGAATTGGTCCGTGCACATTACCTGGTAATCGCTGTAGATGAAAGACGTAAAAGTTGAGACTCTAATGTGAATGCTATGTGGGGTATCACGAAACTCTCTACCGAAATCCGCCGCAAAGTTGCCTGCTACTCACCACCGCTGTCTATACATCAAAAGATCTCTTTGCCCAAAGCACTCTGCCACAATCGTCATGATCATATCGATGGTGACTCGTGTGTTCAAGTCAGGCCCGCTTCCCTGACCAGAACTAGCACCACCTTCATGTTCGTCGTCCCTGTCTTCCGATCCGCCTACTTCTGAGCGTTGTGCCTCGACATCTGGAAGGATGTCTGTTGTCGGCATATGGGGTTGCACGAGGCGGTCCCCTAGCTGTGTGAGCAGACGTTCTCGTGCTTTTTGGGCATCCATGGCTTCCTCGCCGTCTGGTATTGCGCTTCCTTGGGAGGACAGGAACATGTCATCAGAGCCTACAGACCCGCTGTCATTTTGTTCGTCGACGCCATGTTCATGTCGGCGGTAATCAGCGCTGGCTTCGTACAGTCGTACTTTGAGAAGTGCAGCCTTCTGCGCCATGTCCCTGATCCTACTGATTTTGTCGTTGTCCAAGGTCCCGACATCCCCGACCAAAGCCAGTAGAGTCCATATCCAGCAGCTGAATTGTGGGGAGATAGTTGTTGCCTGTTCGATTGTATTTGCACATCTCTTTAGGGCAGCATACAATGTCGTGCTTTTCAAGCGTGCGACATGGTTGAGCTTAGGATATTCCGTCTCCAAGGTATCGAACCAGGATCCCGAAGTTATACCTGGAGACGCAGGTATTTCGGTGGCACGGTCATTATTTGCGGCCGCTGCAAGCGCTGCACGAAGAGTGCAGAATCGCTTGAGCAGCAGTTGGTGCAGTCGGTTTTGTGGGTCGGAAACGATCGACTCGTCGCTGCCTTCTTCCTTGTTCTGATACTCGAGATCCTCATCGATGGCTATCCACGTGCCTTCCCGGAAAACGGCGTGTCTGTGATGCTGATTTGAGCCGTGAGCACGCGTCGTGCTAGACCCCAGCAAATCAGGTATAGCAGATGCTTCTGATCTGTTTGTTCAAATAAGCTACAATTCTTGTATATCATCTGGCGCAGTCCTCTCACCTCACTTCGCGAAGATAGGCCAATGCTTCTCCAATGCCATCGTCCGATGAACCGTCTTCGTCAAGACCTGGCAGCTCCACCTGGATGCCAAACTTTGTGCGTCGGGATGATTTGTTTGCGGGCCAACTCCTAGCATTCGCATTTACGTCTTCCGTCTGGACGAGCTTGGCGCGTTTGTGTTGGATGCTGTCGTCTGCTTTGTCGTGCTTTCGCTTGCTACTGAACGGTGGGGCGGGCGGGCCGAGGTGTGTTGTGTGCTTTCGCGGTGGAGGAGTAGACGTGGACATCAGATAGTCTTGCGGTCGCTGGAGCTTGTTGTATGCGCCTCCATCCTTAGTCACGGCTTGATTGACACCAGAACCTGCCATGGCGGTCCCGACCGAGTAAATGTGGTTGGAGTGTAGGGAGTTGCTTAGAATGCAGGGTTACACATGCGGAGCGCTCGCGGAGGTCCGCCAGCCAAGAATCACAATGCTCGCGTCCGCTCTAGCGCCATTCTCGCTCATCTGAGTTATGCTGCAAAGTACAAAGTTCAAGCATTATCATTAAGTGGATATTTTCGCTAACTAGACATGAATACAACCTCGCTTAGTTCGACTCAATCTTCCTTCTTCTCCGTGTTCTGGTACGGGTACTTGATCGTGAGACACCAGATATCCAGGTAGTCACAAATAGTCCAGATAACGTCCACAATGAAGCTACCGTGTACACCTACGCTCAGTCCCAGGCACATGAATACGAATGCGACCTGATAGACATCGTCTCCCAGAGCGCTTGGCCAGCCCACGCCGATGTGTTCTTGCAGCCATGGCCCCAACGAGTCGATGACTCCGTAAATCAGCGGATAGATGAGGACGTTGCCCCGTGGAAAGCGGGATTTGGTCAGGTGCGAGATGATCATCCGTCCCACGGAATAGGCGTTGACCAGGCCAGCGTAGAAGATAAAGGGCACCAGATGATTGTGAAGAATCATGGGCTGCAGATACAAATAAGCAGGGATGAGTGTCCAGGCGGCAGCAAATGTGAGGAGGCCGAGAAGGGCATCACGAGCCTTCTGGCCTCGAGCGCGGCGCGCTTCCATGACATTCATCGCGCTATACAGTATTTAGCAACATAATTCGGAGGGCAAACTAAACATTGAACATACCTCGAGACCGTGTTGAATACAAGGATAAATCCTGCATAGACCATGTACCATTCGTTCCAAGCCAGGTTGTATAGGGCCGAAGGTATGAAGTCGTACTTGTTCAGACCAAGACTCTGGAACATGGATTGCTGCCAGAAACTGCCACCACCCAGATAGGCTGTGAGAGCATAGACAATACACAGCGTCACGATTCCTTCGACAGGTCCAGAGATCACGCCCAAAGTCAAGGTATGGGTGTGGTATTCGTCCCAAGTCTGAACGTAGAATGTCAAAGACGCTTTGCTTGTTAGCAATGAGTCAATTTCAAAAGAGTTCCATATGCAGCACTCACAGGCAAATAGTGTAAGGAGTGTTTTCCATCCCTGGCCCAGGTTCATCGTCGCCGAAAACAGTAGTACTTCCAGTGTTGTGTTGATAGCATCAACACCGTGATCGAACAGTTCGCCCAATGGTCCACTCTGATGTGTTCTGCGGGCTTGACTACCGTCAACAGCATCAAATGTCTGGTATAAGAACAGGCCGATTGCCCAACTGGCATATACCCATGGTGGACAGTCCTGGTCCAGCGTAGGCGTATACCAAAGCATCGTCAGGAAATTCGCGACTACAAAGCCGAAGCCGGACAGTGTGATCTGTCGTATACGCGTCAGCTGGGGAAGGGAAAATATGGCGTCGACTGTCTTGTCGAATTGTACGGTACGAGGAGACTCACGAGATTCGGTCTAGGTGTATTCAGGTCAGCGCAGCTCAGTTTGGGCATTGGTCCGTAACTTACGCCATCCACATAGGAAAGCAATGAATCACCACATGAGTGTAGAAAGGCTTGAGAACATAGCGAGAAAGCAGGCTATGGTCGACGCCTGAGTACTTGTATTCATTGAGTTTCGGGAGTTTGTCTTGACGTATGTAGACCATCGCAAATGAAGTGCGCCGTAGTGATGCGCAGTAGTTGTTGGCAGTTGTGAAGTGTCGGTGCTGTCAATGCAGAAGCCGAGTTCTTGAGTGTTGAAAGGACAGGGCTCTTAGCTTGTGATCGCACGGAAGCGATGACGTGAGCCCCACTTCCCAAAAGCATGGAACAACGTCTGTCAAGTTCTTTCCCATCGGATTTCACTGATCTGATGCCGCACTCGGAAAGGATTTCATTGTGGTGTGCACACTGTAAACTGCGTAACAGGTCATTTTGACTGATATGTGTCGTGTTGTGATTGCTCTCGAACACTACTTATTGCAATTGCGCGAAGTTACTGTTTGGTCCCGCATACCTGTGCATACTTGATCTTGGCAACTTCTCACATTTTGCAACCGCATTCGCGAAGAGACTCAGTGAAGTCTACCATTCCACTGATCCGCCTAAGCCACTGGGCTCCATGGGCACGGGGTCAGGATCCTGCTCTTCATCGACTGGATGAGTGGCACCGTCTTGTGAACCGTCTCACCCCAGCCTTCTACACTCCAGCTCTGCTCGCGGCGGATTTTGCGTTGTTCTAGATCCGCGAACTGCCATAGATGGTGCACTGTGTTCAGTTCGCCGATCTGCACAAACCACGCACCGACCCCTTCCATAACTTCTCGGCGAGCCTTCAAGCCCTTGCGCCAGTGCGTCTCCCACTCTAGTAGGTTTCCTGGGTGTAGGGTGTACGAGCGAAGCTCAAAAAGTCCGCCTAGCTGGCGGGGTGAGGTTGTGGGCCAGAAGGAGAATTCCTGCATGAGAGAAGAGTGCTTCGAGGTGATCAGCTTCTTCAGCTTCCCATCGAAGTCCGCAAACTCTGGATGGCTTTGAATGTTGTGCAATGATTGATGGTAGCCCTCGTATCGCTGGTACTCCCAAATGTGTACTGGTTATCCAAAGCGTAAGCACAATGACGAACTCATGTAGCTTGGGTGCAGGAGAACTCACCGAATGTGTTGCAATCGCCAACCTCCGTCCTCCAACTACCGACAAGATGCACCTTGTTCTCTGGGAGAGAGGCCATCTTTGGGTACCAGTTGCCAACCAGCTCTGTGTACTCATCCACCTTGTCCGGCTTTACCTCGTGGAAGACAATTGAATGGACATACTTGCCACGAGCCAGGACTTGCGAGAAGCTGCGCTCCATATCCTTGTCGAGCTCTCGGCCTTCGGGTGTACCATATATCAGTGAGGTAAGGGCTCCAGTCTTCTTCTTGCCAGTCTCGTGTTCGCGGTCACGGGCTTCCTCTGCTCTTGACGTTAGCACGGTGAGCGGCCCAGCGTAAAGAGTGCATCAAGCACTCCTAGAAAGCCATAGAGAGCCGAGATACGTACTTTCCTGTTGTTCTCTCTGCTTCTGTGCGGCGACCAAGCCCTCGCGGAACTCTTGCTGCTTCTTGCTGAAGCTAGCAGCACTATCTGGCGTGATGTCACCGAGAGAAGGAGCCCGAGGCCCCTGTGCAGCTGCAGCGACAGAGAAGTAACGCGCATGAGGTGCAGAAGCCTGCGGGGCGGAGAGGCCATGCAGCGCGCGCGCGCAGGCACGGCGAGCGAGCATAATGGCGGTGGTGATGCTGAGGCGACCAAATTGAGCTTCGATTCAATTGAAAATTGTCGATTTGAGGACGGACTGGACAGAGTAAACGGAAAGGTAAGAGGTGTTGTCGATGAGGAGGTCGACGTGGTTGGTGTAATGAGAAGCCACGGAGCTTCCCCTCATCACTGCAGGCGTCGCTTGTGCAGCTCTCCCTGTCAAGCTAGTTTAGCGCCACGGAGGAAAGTCTGGAGAATGGGGAAGCGCCCCACTCACCCAAACATCGAGTTACGTCCTACTATCGCTCCCGTCGCCCTCTCAACCTCATGTCATCACATGCTGATTAGGTCATGGATGGGGAGAGTCTTTGCATGTCTTGGAATGCGAACAGGCACTCGCTTGCTGTGTTTGCCCACTTCACTGAAGATCTCTAGCAAAGAAGCCAAGCTCAATCTTATACAGGTTTATGTTTGTACTACATTCACACTTATCGGAAAATCACGTGATAGGTTCGGTACAGTCCTCCTAGCGGCCAGGTCGTCAACACAGCCTCCTTCCAAGTCTGTCCCTGGGGCTCTCTTGTCCCTTCTTCTCTGCTGATGTCTTGAGTCTGTACCCTGCGCACTCTCTCATACATACTCGGCAACGCCTCTGCATGCCATCTCTTCCGCAGGTCATCATACTTGGGGCGGTCATAGAGACTCCAAAACTCGTCCTCGGTGTAGAAATTGGCAGCATAAGGTACCTTCATCCCGCGCAACTCTCGGGGTTTCTGCTCCAAATCTCTGTTGGTTTTGCGGACTGCTGCGGGTGCAGGATCAGTAGGACCCCAGACGCCGAAGTTTAAAGTCAACTCCCCCTTTTTCTTTGGAACAGCGCTGGTCTCGTCGTTCGATTTGTAGAATGGTCAGCCCAAAACTTCCTCGGTACCTTCTTTCTTGAGAGTCGGACATATCCACAATGGCCAGATCTTCAGCTCCTCGTCGACATACCGGACGAAGGCTTCAGACGTGTCTACTGGAAGCAAAAGATCTTGCACGATGGCGCCGTCGGCGGAATCCACAGCCAATATGGCTTTGTAGATCGCACGCGCGGTCATGATCGGATTTAGTAGCCATCGGAAGAGCTAATTGTTTGGCAAACCGTAGTAATTAAAAAATACCTCCCCACTCCAGAAAGCCCCGCGATCATGCCAGAAAAGGTAACTTTGTGTCGGAATGATGTCTGTGTAAGACTCGAAAGTCTCTCGAGCATGCATATAAAACCAAGGATCGATTGCCCGATCAAAACGTTGACGTGGAACTCCCCTAGTCTCGGGAGATGTGTAACAAACATGCCGTCCCGTTGTGATGACTCCATGCTGCATGCTATATTGTATGGCTTTGATGAAGTCAAAGCTTGCGTTCCGTTCCTCGCACATACTAGACAAGCGGTTGATAGTCTCGTTGATACTCGAAGTATGGTGGTACGTCAACTGCACCGCATCTTTGGTTTCAGTCAGACGAACTTTCAGCAACGTGATCACACCCATAGTTCCAAGGATACACCTGGCACCATCGAACAGGTCGGAATTTTCCCTATTCTTTGTAGCCCGTACAATATCGCCGTTACCCAATATCATCTCGATCTCTTCAATAATGCAATCAAAAAGTCCTTCTTTCCACCCGGTGCTCTACCCGCTAGCACCAGAGAATCCACCTCCAATAGTAATCCCAGGGAACTCCATTTCAACCAGGGGCATAAAGCCTAGCTGTAAGCTTTCAGGCACAGGAACATCCAGCGGAACATTTGGCTCCACAGTAGCAATCCTGGAGTCTGTGTCGATTGCTAAGATATGATTGAGATGTGATATGTGCAACTGTGGAGTATTTCGGTCGCGACGGCGTGTAGAGTTGGTCGATCCATGATTGATTCGAAAAGGAGTGTGAGCTGCGTGGAAGCCTGCAACTTCAGCAGCGAGCTTTCGTACCGCCAATTCGTGGTTGCTGGCCGTGTGGTGATCCATGATGTTGGGACAGGACGTTTGTCACTTTTTTATGCACTCGCAAGGCCACCTTATATATTCGCAGGGCAAATCAAAAGCTAATGCCATATCGGGTCGAAAGCTCTTGGGACACATCTATGTCCGGCCATCCGAAAGAACAATCACAAGCGCGAGGGTATTCAAGACAAAGGGATGCTTACACATCCCTTGCATCACATCTTGACGATTACAGTTTGCGCCCATGGAAACAAATTCAAGCATGTGCGTATGTCCTTGTATGAGATATCACAGAAAGAGATACGGGCGCTGACAGGTATTAAACAACCCACACATAAGATGCGCTCTCGCAACGATGTGGCGACTCAGTTGTGGCCGTATTGCAATAAGTGAGAGCTAAGTGAAGTACCATTTCTCCCGTAGGCAGCCCAAGGAGTGCGTCATTGTCAACAATAATGAGACTTGATTTTTTGCTGGCAAAATGTGGTTGAGGAACAGTCTACAATGTGTACAAACGGTGAGCCACGGAGCCGACTATACACAGCATGTGTCAGTAAGATTGGACATAGGCGATGAACATGAACGAGATAAAGTGCCATACGCCAGACTGCCTTCGTCCGTCATTTGACGCTATCGGACAGCTCCGTCGAGATTAAGTCCTTGAAACACCAGGAATTCATGGAATTACATTATCAGACAGAGGACATGATGCACAGTATGGGCATTGAATCCGAATCAGTCTTCGTCAAATATCTGAAGGACATTGTCCAGGATGGTAATGATGACACGGGCTTGGAGACCAGCATCGGCCATATTGTTACCTTTATGTGGACCCATTATGGACGGTCTACACCTTGTTAGTAACCATAGGTCAAAGCAAGTTGATGAGTGAACTTACGCCCAGCAAATACCCAAGTTGGCAGTGCTCATACGATTCACCTCAGAAGATTGCTGCACACGGTGCATGTGCAGAATTGTCGCACGCAGTGTCGCGTAGTTTGGATCAGGCAGCGCATTGATCAAGGCGTGCATTGAGTCTCGCCGCATAGTATCATCGTCGATGCGCGCTGCGTCGATGAATTTGCCGTAGAACTCTCTCGTCAGGAGAGGATCAGGCAGCTCGCGGAAGAACTGTTTCAGCAGCCCTGCAACGCTGTTTACATCATGTTGAAAGGCTTCCGGGTTCCGAAAATCGACCTGTGAGGCATCTGTACACAATTAGCCAAACTCGGAGTCGAGCCACTATGGCGCTACACGTACCACTATCGAACAGCGCTTTCATCTGCTGAATATGGGAAGAAGTGCCCGGTATGCGGTAGATTCCTTCGACCTCCAGCCCAAAGAGATCAACTGCCTGTATGCACTGATAAACAACCATGGGAACCGGCGAGCCGTCACGCCTGAAGAGTTCCTCTAGCGTCAGGCCGAAAACAGGATTCAGAGGGGGCTGTGAATTGTTATACAGGACTCCACTGCTTTGCTGAGCGGTCGCCTGACCTGCAGGCCCTCGGGGGTAGTCCGGTTGCGAGTGTGGATTGTGTGCAGGTGGGGAATATGCAGAGCCGTTGTGTTGAGGAGCCTGTGATGGTGGCATGTGTTGTTGTGAGGGTGGAGCGTAGCTAGAATAGCCAATCTGGGATGTCGGCTCAGGGTGTGCAGCGGGCGGTGCATGGCCATCTGGCTGTGGCAGCGAGAAGGCGGGCGGCGGTTGACTTTGCATCTGCAAGGATGCACGACGGCCTCCGCTGATGGCAGGCGGCGGCGTGGGATGCGATTGCGCAGGAGCCTGTGTGGGGTGCTTGACATAGTGCACTTCAGACTTGACCAGCGGTGCCCTCGCGGCGTTCTTCAGGATGTAGTCGTCGAAATCCCTCTCGTTGTTGATCTGGTAGATGAGCTGGTTGATGCTGGGCGGGGCCTGGGCACTGCTGCCCTTGAGCGGCTGTGGGGTGATGACCTGGCCGTTGTTGACCACAAGCTTCTCGTTGAAGGAGGCTGCGGGGATTAGTCGAGAAACGTGACGGGAGGGGGAGCGAGGGGAGGCATACCGTATTTCTGCATCTCCATGGTCAATGCTGCGTCCGTCTCCTTGACCAGGTCGGTGAGGGCAGCCACAGCCTGCGGGCGCGTCGACGCGACAAGCTCCTTGCGCAGGGCCTGCGCTGTCTGCACCTTGCTGGCATAGTCCTGGTCGGCGGCCTGCGTCTTGCGCTGGAGGTCTTCCTCGTGCTGTGCGGCCGACTTGGGGCCCTTCAGGCCAAACTTGCGGCCGGCGCCCGTGTCGCCCGTCTTGACGCGGTCGAGGTCGTCGGCGAGCTGGTCGTACTTGGCCTTGGCCTTTTCTGCCAGCCTTTCGGCGTCCTGGACCTTGTTCTCTGCGGCCAGGCCCTGCTGCTTCCACGTCTTGCGGTTGGTGTCCATCTTGTTGGCCAGCTGCACCAGGTTCTCATGCATGGCGTGCAGGGCGAGGCCGAACTGGGTGCCATTGTCGGCGATGCGCTCGTTGGCATGCAGCACCTGCTCGAACTGCGCCGAGTAGCTCTCGTGGCGGGACTCGGGCTTGCGCAGCCCGTCAATGGTGAGGCGGCTCAGCTTCTTGAGGCTGCCGGCATGCTCCTCTTCCAGTGCGCCGCGGCGCTTGAGGAAGCTGGCAAAGTCCTGTGGACGCGTGTCAGCAGGGCGCATTGGGCGGCGACAGCATTGCGTACCCTCGCACTCGCGATGCTGGCTTTGAGGCGGTTGAGCAGCGTCGAGACCCCCGCGTCCGAGTGCAGCACATCGTGGACGCGGTGCTGTGTCTGCGTGTCCTGCGATGCGGTGCGCTGCTCAGGCGATGCCGGCGCAGGCGCAGGCGCGGGCGCGGGTGCCTCGACCGGCGACGACAGGGCGCCCTCGTCGTTGGGCGCGGAGACGGCGGTGAAGTCTGGGTTGAAGCTGTCGGCGCTCTCCATGGGCGGAATGGCGGGAGGGGCGGCCATCGCGGGCGCTGCTGCTGGGTGTGTGGTGTGGGTGACGTTCCAGGGCTGTCGTCATAAGCGCAGCTGTCAGTTGCGGTCCAGAGTGTGGAGAGGCTCTGGGATGCACCGTCGGGCCCTAAATGCACGCGCCGGGTTTGCACGGACGGCCGTTGCATCATCTTCGCAACCTCACCCGTAGTCAGATACTGTCCATATTATCCGTCTCCCATCTCCCCTTGCCGGGCTCCTTCAAAGCACGTCCGAGGGCCTTCCCATTGCCCAGCTACACCGCCGCAAACACACATTCTTGGAACAAAGCCCATCACCCTGCCGCCATGGCCACAGAGCACCGCACGACAACCACCCCCAGCGGCCTGCCAGAGGAGGTGGTGACATGCCTACAGAACGCACGATTCGTAAGTCTTTGCTCGCCCGTTTCCTACATCCGCCCCCAGTACTGGCAACAAGGCCAATCTGGTCATCTCTAGCATAACCATTCGTCAACCCTGGCACGCCTCATGGTCACGTGTCCTATAGTATTTCCGCTCGCTATTCCAGCATTGTCCTCAGCCTGTCATCTCGCTCACTCATCGTCATCTTCTCCTCCTATTTCTAACCGTCTCCTCTAGCTTCATCTTGCAACATGTTCAAATAATGTCCCACACGTTTCTTTGATGAACTACACCTACCTCCCCAGCACCCCATACTCCCAATCACCTACGATCATCATGACAACCCCACCCACGTCCCGCAAGACGCTGAACCTCGAGTCCAATCCTCTGGTCTCGCTACTGGTACATGATTGGATTTCACATCGCCCACCCACTCTGAGCCAGCCAGCTCGTTCGCCCTCTCCAACTCATCCCGCCCCACGCTCTGGTTCACTGGCTGAACTTCTCCTGGGTATTAATACTGCATCACTCAGTAGGATTAGCACCACCATCAATGGCACAGCAGAGCTTGTTCCATCCGGCTCCGCAGAAGAGAGTTGGTACAAGGTCGAACACCTGGCGAATAATACGTTTGGCGGTCGCGAGGCTGGCGACCATCACAGCTCATCTACCGGAGGAGGTCTCTGGGTGGAAGGTAACCAAAGGACATCTCGCGGAAATGATAGCGACATCGGAGAAGGTGACGGTGGTACAAAATGCTATGTAGAGGACGGGGAGGTCAGAGTTGTTGTTGTTCGCATCACTGGTGGAAGAATAGCGGACTGGAAAGGTCAAACGCGGGACTGGACAGTAATGCCTCATCTGAGACTTGGACCTTTGAACGGGCAATAGGCACGAATCGACCATATAAGCAAACTTGCGCTCTTTTGCGACCATTCTGACGCATGTTACAAGATGCCACGTGCGAGGAATGTTGTCCTGTTTTTTCAGAGTAATAGTAAAATCATGTCTACATATATGGTGGGGCACTGATGTTTATAAGCAGGACGAGATTAGCGACTTTCTGTACATGATCTTACATATCCAGAATTGTTTACGATAGCACCAGCTTGTTGTCTGATCAAGTCGTGACCGGAGCTTATCTGCGTGGCTTAGAGCTGCCAATTTGGGTTGTACCATGTTCACATCGGGGTTTTCAACACCCCCTCCTCCATCTGTCTCACGTTTCTGAGACAACATGGCGACAGTCGGGTCATAGATTGGGGTGCTCATTTCTTTCGACCACTTGACATGTGCCGCATTTCCAGAGTACAATAATAGTCATCGACACACAGCACCAATCTGCCTGTCGCATCTTGGGGTGAAGGTGAATTGGGCGTTTTGACCAATGGTGAATGCACTGACGTTCCGTTTGTCAGTCGCCCCGCCACTTATTTAAGTTGCGCCCCCGACCTTTGTCTCAACTCACACTCTCTCACTCCTCTACTCAACTGCAATTTTTATTGCCTCTCTTTGTTCAACTCTTGCGCACCCTGCAACTGAGGAACGCTGCCACCACTGCACAACAAAGAAACCTGAACACAACCTCACCACTCCAACACAACTACTCAACTACTCAACTACTCACAATGTCCGACAACGAGCCTCTTGAGTTGCTTGCGAAGCGCCTCAAGAACTTCACGACCGGCCAGATAGTGCACATCATGCGCAGTGTCCAAGAGCCAATCGCTAGGAACGTGCTCCTCGCTCAGCTCTTTAACACCAAGGCCGCTCCCTCCATCGCCGCTCTTGCGACCATGCCTCCCAGGAAGCTCAAGAAGGCGCTGAACGGATTCATAGGCTATCGTTGTACGTATAGTGAAATCACAGCTTTGCATGCGATCTTGACTAATCTTTCCTGCAGCCTGGCTCAAAGCTATACCCTTCTTCAACATGTGGCCGATGAAGAATATTTCGTCCTATATCGGTCAGCTGTGGGAGCATGAACCCGACAAGCCTCTGTGGACCCTGATGACAAAGGCCTGGTCCGCCATCCGCGATCAAGTCGGCAAGGACATGGCTCCTCTTGACAAGTTCTTGGACATCGTGTGCACTGAGCTCAAAGTTCTACCACCTACGTTGTATCTCCAAGGCCGTGGATGGAAGATCGAGTACAACAGTGAGGGTGCGCCTACACTCTTACACGATCCCACCTCCTCGTCAGCTGCAGCGCTCGGCTATGGCTTTAAAGGCCAGACCCTCTCAGTCTCAGACATCATCGAGATCTGTCAGAAGAGAGGATATGCCACTAGCTACGCGCCCAACAAGAACGATGCGTGTCCAACCTTTCTGGGGCAGAACCCCCAAGCTTTGAGGCTGGCGGCACGCAACAAGCGTAGGGATAGGCGCCAGACCGCTAGAGAGTCTCCTGCTGCTCAAGTTCTTCAACAGGAATCCGACGAATTTCTCGCCGCCATTCCAAAGAGTACGCTTCCAGAGGATGAGTCTCGAGACCCCACTGGATTCTACGGTCATATCTTGAGTATCTTGTCCGACTACAATGTCGCAGACCCTACAGCATCTGCTGTCGAACCCAACAACAGTAACACGGCCGTCTCGACCCTCTTATCGAACAGCTTCAACTTGTCCGTCGCTACCGACATGAGCGCTTTCCGTGTTGGCGCTAATGCGGATGCCGTTCTGCCCTCCTTCGACCTAAACAACTTCCAGCTCGGCTAGTTTCCTACCATTCCGCAGGAAACGATTGTCAATTTCGAGTTGATCACCATATTGACTTTTTCGGCACAAGCACCCCTTCGGTTTATCACACAGTCCGCTGTACTTTCCTCAGTACCCTGTCGATACCCTTTCAGTACACTTTCATACCCTTGTCCAAGCAGGTATCTTGCATCCAATGGGCGCATGAACTTAAGCAAAACGCTCTCAGCTGCCCTTTTACATGATTTACATGCTGAGGGCAGATGGCCGAAACACTGGACTCCATTTTCCTTTTCGCGATAACGTTATGATTACGGCTACGTCACTAGCAGCCATGACTTTTGCAGACTATGGAAATCATAGTGCAGATTATTCAGATATCTGGAATGGCTAGTGGGGGGCTCATATGAATAATTCATTGGCCTATTGATCTTCGGTGCCTCCAGCCTGAATGCCTGAGTGGCACATGGAACTAGCTTTGTTTTCTCATACTGGGGCTGTGCATTTCAGACCGCTGCAAGAATTCAGTATTGCCTTTTTCGGTTTGGACGTTCTGATCTCGATCACTAGGAATTGGTCTTGTCCAATATGACGGCAAGGCATTGAGTGAAATGGAATTGGATAACTCGAAAGTCTACATAAAAACAATGAAAAACATAAGATCCCAATACTGAAGTACATTGCGCTTACCCTGTGCTCAATACTTCATGCTCATCTTATCGTTGCCGTTAATAGATATGGTGATGGTGGTGGTGTCGATGCTGAAAGTGTACAGTTGGGAACAGCCTGACGAAATACTCAGCCACGCACGCAGAGCTTAAGGTGCGCAACTACCACGAATTTTGCTGGTTTTCAATTGATCGGAAAAATTTAGAAGATGTTCAGCCAAAAATTGTGATTGGTTATGAAGTGGTATTGATTAGTCGGGCTCAGGATCCTCCCCTCGAGATCGTGAATGTACATGTGTGTGCAGATATGCAAGGGGAGCTTTTTACGTTATTTAACTAACAATTGTTATGGGCCATGGTGAAACGGGTACAGTATGTGGAGTTCAGTACTGGTTTTCAGGGGATGTTGAAGTTCAAAGCTGGCACAACCCAGAAACAAAGTGACATGCTGTCAGGACACAGGTCTGCACTCACTGCGCCAGCATGTCAAAAAGGCTGCAATGATCATTCAACGATTCATCATGCAGTGCAGAATAGTATATATCGTCAGCCAGGCCTGACACATGCCTCGCGCCACAGGATGGCCACCTTGGAATGAGCACACAACAGGGACCATATGAACTGTCTTACCCCCGGCAGAAAACTCGAGTAGTTGTCTAGCTTTAATACAGGGGCGTAATGTGACCAAAGAGCGCTAGATGCTTCTAAACACAAGGACAACCATCCCGAGTATTTCTCGAACTAGGGTGATTACCAAATAGTACTTGGTTTGGGCTTTTTCTAACATGGGTTGTAACTACATAGACTAGTTATTAGCTCAAATGTATTGATTGTGGATGCATTATCTACAAGATCGTTCCTCAACTCCTACGATCATAAACAAGGCAGGACCCAGCAGCTATACATGAAGGATGGCAAGCTCGTTTTCGTGAGACAGCATGATTCTTGCAGCCGTAAATTAGTTTCAAGATTTATCTTTTGAGTATAATGCTACTACGTACAAGATTTATGATCCACTTAATACGTTGTCACTGTAGACCTGGATCCAGACAAATGCAAATGTAGACCGCCTATAGAGCTCCCTCCAGGGTTCATCACTTCATATAATAGAATCTAGCTAAAGAAATTAATTTTAGGTGACAATATCCGTTAGTGTGCAGGTCGATAGTTTGTATTCGCTGGGTCTGTACCTTGCGCGAACGCGCAAGATCATGACAAAACACGACACAACGTGCCGTAGACGACGGGCGCCATAATTCTAACATGGGAGAACGTTTGAACTGTTTGAATGAGTGATTGATTTGAAGACATTGATCCTATCTGCTAACGAACATGCCTGATAAATATCATTATCTCTGAGGTGGTCGCTTGTGTGTCGAGGATTACTTTCACCATGTGTTCGATATGTCTCAGGGGCAATATGCTGAGATCGAACTTGGTAAAGAGAGCACAAACAATCTCAGAATGTAAGATTAAGTGTATCGATTGAACATGAGGTACAAAGCTTCAACCTCTCATGTAAAGTCCATCGCGAGCTGATGGCCATATGGGCATGATCTCCGAAGTTCATCTAAATCCATTAGACCTCTTACTTTAGTGATTTACAGTAATCTGAACGAACACGTCATCATGTATGTTTATTTTTAAACAAACTGTGCCTGGTGACGTCTGGTCCCCCAGTTCAAGTTCAATGCCCAGGTATTCGTCCAAGGTTTTCATAATAATGAACCACATGTGAACGAGATGATAAGATTATCCAGGCTGTCTTGTATGTGCTAATGCATAATAAGAGCTTTTCAGACTAAGTTTTGATCACCCTCCAACCATTCAGTATTATTCCTGAGAGGAGTGGCAAAAAGCGTATATCGAAGTGAGGTGCACAAATCGTCCAGACTGCTACTCATTTAACGCGACCAGAGTCCACTCAATTTGTTCCTCAATCGACTCTCTAATGCTAGCAGTATGTAAAGATACTTGTTATCCTCATCCCCATTTGGGGCCGACCTTAATCTGTACTTACTGAGAAGTTATCTCTAAGGCACCCACGTGCACTTATGTTATTTCTTCAGAGGGCTTCAACTTTGCTCTTCGTAGCTGTGATAAGAATTCATCGCAAGCTTGGTCGACCTACACATGGACTCTTCACGCTAGGCACCTAGGCATGAAGGCAGTCTTTCAACATGCAGCGTCTGAGAAATTTGTAGATCGATGTGAGCACTCGGCGTCAGTCGAGTTCCAGTCAACTTCTGCTATGAGTTTGGATCAATTACCGCGGCACGATCACTACCCTACCAATCCTGCTAATTCAGACGAGTTTGAACCTAGAAACTATATTTACCTCGTTCTGACATCCTAAGTCAACTCCGTGAAAAGAGCTTGGGTCACATTGACCGCTCGTCTGTAAGCGTACTTAGTCTCTATATCTCTCGGTCACGGCATCTCCTTGAGCGACAGGGTCTCGTGTAGACGTGACTGGCCAATACGAAACTGTGTCTCGCCATCATCTTCCTCCATCCCCCCTGGCATGCTTTTGCACTCCAATTTATTTTCCACAACGCCTCCGGCGTCACCCCCCGGCCTGTCTACGCAAAGTGATCATACACCTAAATTGGCAATGAATGTGCCTGGTGCTTCTTCCCTTAACTTTTCCAGTCACTCGCCCATATGAAGGTCGCACAACGCCACTGCGTCCCAGTCTCCTTCTGACCACTAGGCCCAATCGGTCTGGAACACATCCAGAACTGCCGGCCACAATTGACTCCCGGCTTTTTGGTCGTGAGCATGATGCAAGGCTCTGCATGGCCTTCGCACCGCGGTGAGGGTTTCTTTGAAAAAAGCTTTGTCCAGCCTTCTTTCGAGGCTTCTTGAGAAGCCAAAGGATCGGTCTGGACATGAGCTGGTGGGGAGGAGGAAGGACCTTTGGTATTCGATGTTTGGGACAAAGAGGTACGGTTTTCTGCAGTTTCAACTGCTGCGTCAGTGAAAGGTACCAATGGAGTTTCCTCTTGACCTGGCTTGGAGTCTGAGGCATTGGTTCGGCTCTGGAAGAAGCCCTTCAAAGATTGCTGGCCCTTAGCCATGGGATGTGTACCGTTGAGTGTATTTGGAAGACCGAGTCTGCTGCGTTTCCCAGATTTCATGGGCGTTGTTGAGGAAGCCCGACGTTTTTCAGGAGATTTCAGAGGGATGGAAAGTCCACTCTTGTTCGAAGTAGAGTTGGACCGGAAAGTCTCAAGGGAGGGCGTGGAGACTTTGTCTGGACTCTGGATCGCTGCGGACAGCGGTATGGCAGGTGCTTCAGCTGTGACCACATGCGCTCCCATGTTGCTTGAATGAGACACAGACGAGTTCTCGAGCGATGGCTTCTTGTTGAACATATCTCGAATATTCTGCCTCTTTGTGAATTCCGGCAGAAGCTTCCCACTCAAGGATGGCATATCCTTTGCCGGGTTGTAGTCCCTCTGTCGCCTACCGTTTTTGTACATGCCAGGTGGGTTCATCAAATCTAACAGATGGAATTCTTCCTGGGTGTCCTCCATGTCAGCCACACCCGCGTGAAGCATTTTCCCTCTCGACACCTTCTCTTTCATCAAGGCATACACCGGGCAATGATCTGAACCCATCAAGCCTTCTTGGATATCGGAGTCCTTGAACCAGTCCTTGATTGCGATGCTACATAGGACAAAGTCGATGCGTGAGCCAAAGTTGCCAGGCCGTGCATTGATTTTCTGCTCCCAATGGGTGTACATACCCTCGCGATCGGGATGGAATTCGCGACACAAATCATACAAGACAGGTGCTTCGCGTCCCTCGTCCCGCTCGCCTGGGACTTGGCCATTCATCAGTAGTTGGTTGAAGACACGACGATTCGGCGTGCTTAGGTACTCGGTGTGCGTCATGCCTTCAGAGCGCATGCTGTCCTCTGCCCTCGCTGTATCGATGAGGTCCCGTGAGACGTTCAGATCGCCGGTCAATATGACGTTCTTGCCCATGTTATTGAGGTTGCGGATACGTGTGTCGAGCGCAGTCAAAAATCCGTACCGGAAGTCGTCTCGCAAACCATTGCTGTTCGCTGGGCTGTAGACGCCAAACAGTACAAATGCTGGGAACTCAATGACAAGACAACGCCCCTCTGCATCAAGAGCGGCTGGATCGACCCCGAGGTCTGCAACCTGAGCGGCTGTGGGATAGCCGCCGATGCTCGCGTCTTGGGGAAGCTCACGATATGGCGTGGTAGAGCCAGGTGGACACAGGACGCCGAGCAAACCTTCTTCGGCACGAATAGGCGCACACACAGACTGTCGGGTGTATATGCCGACTCCAGAGTAGCCTGCAAAGCGTTAGCACGTGATATGTCAATTCACAACCGAAGACTACCTTTCTTGTGCTTCGGTAAGCTGAAGTAGCAGTCCCAGCCAGGGACTAGCACCATGTCATCGGTCAGGTCTTTGCGCTGGATCTTGAGCTCCTGCATGACGACAACGTCGGCTTCCAGTATGTCGAACATGGCATTGAAGGTCCGCTTCTCGCTCCATGGCTTGTAGCCGAACGGGTTGCGGATGCCATTGACGTTCCATGTCGTGATGCGGACCATCATGTGTGATAGAAAAGGCGCTGGTGAAGGGCTGGAAGGCAGACCATCATTGTTCGCTCACGAGCTGGTGCTCTCCTATTCGGCGGCGCGCAAGTGCGAGGAAGAACGCGCCACGCGACTTGTCAGACACCCAAGATCACGACGTCACATTACATGGCGCAGGTGCAAACAGCGCAAACACGGCAACACGGCACATTCCGTGTGGTCTGACCGGCAAGCTCCCGCATGTAATTCGGGCCTCGCATCCTCCTCCACGCACCACCACGACCACGCCAATTGCACGCCCGCCCCCATCTCCACTCTACCACTGTCGACAAAATGTTCGCCCAGCGCGCCCTCGCCCGCTCAGCCCCGCGCATGGCTCTGCGCACCCAGCGCGCCGCGCCTCTCCGTGCCGGCCGCACCACCTCCCGCAACTACAGCTCCGAGAGCCCCAAGCAGTTCGCGGGCGCCGAAGACAACGAGTTCAACCGTGAGCGTGCTCGCATCGCAGAGCACGCCTACGAGTCGGGCGAGTTCTGGCGGAAGTTGACGCTCTAGTGAGTTTCTCCAGGGATGCGCTGCACACTGGGATTCGAGGCACCGGCCTTCAGATGGGACGCAATGCCAATCGCAGCAGGTTGGAGGGCAATGCAGGGAACACGAAATGCTAACGCCGACTCCAGTGTCGCCATTCCTTCTCTGGTCGTCGCCAGCATCAACGCCAAGCTCAGGTGGGATGCCCACTGGGAGCACGTTGCCCACGACACCCCTAAGGAGGATAAGCCGGAGTACGCATACCAGAACATCCGCACCAAGAACTACTTCTGGGGAGACGGTGACAAGGTATGAGATTTCCTGACCTAGCATACCAGAGTAGAATCGACTAATTGACCTCTTCACAGACCCTCTTCTGGAACGACAAGGTCAACTACCACAAGAAGGACTAGTAAGCAGTTGTGCTACAACACTTTATCAAACAACTTTGGAAAGGACCCGGATCATCATGCAGATTGCATGTGTACATAGTGCAAGCAGCGGGCCGAGCAGTAGACCAGCAATATATTTCCTATGTTTAAGTGCGGAAAGCTGTGAAGGCTGAGGCGATTCGCCAATTCATTGAATAATAACGATTGCACTATTCAACCATCTTCCATGTCCATCATCCCTTCCTCCCAGACCCGATTGTGGTTCTGTGCCCATTCCTCTGCTAGCTTTTCGTCTCCCCTCAACTTGGCAATGACCGCCTTCTTCATCAACTGCTCACACTCGCCTGCTAAATACCCGGTCTTCTTGTAGCACTCCCTTGCTCGATCGGTATAAAGTTCTGCCTTGGCCACATGCCTTGCTGTCCAACGATTCGGATTCGACGGCACTGATGTTTCCGCGTTGACTTTTGGACTTGGATCTGCGAGACCCATATAAGCATCCCCGAGATGAGAATATAAGATTCCGAGGAGATAGCTGTCTGTGCCTTCGATCGCTTGGGGTATGACACCCTCCAGTAACCTTCTCGCGCTCGTCGATTGCCCCAGGTCGTTGAGAATGTTTGCAAGTAAGCCTATCGCTGCCCACAGGCTTGGCATGAGTTTGGCTTTGTAACTGACGCTCGCTGCTCTTATTGCCGCGGAAAACCCTCGCTCTGGCCTTCCGACTTTCCGGAACAGGTCACCTTTCATCAGAAGAACACTGACGCGCTGTAGGACGTCTGCGTTGTCCTCTTTGAAAGACCGAGCTAGTGACGAAGTCGCAATGAATGCCTCGCTGTAGCAAGCACGCGAGCTGAGATAATCGACGTGGGCTTCATGTAAAATGAAGGACAATTCAGGGTCGAGTGGCGTTGACGAGGGGTCCGCAGCGGGTTGAGGTTGGACCGTATTAAGCAGATGCGCGCATGCGGCCCAATTGGATCTGCTAAAGCATAAGTTTCTGCGAACTTATAGGAGGTGGACCAAACGAATACCTTCGGATAGCTCGCTTAAACTTGATGACTCCAGTACACAAGACTAGATACTGATGGTACTTCAGGGATTTGTGTGTATTCGCATCGATGGCTTCGAGGGTTGCAATAGCTTCGTCATACCGACCTCCAGAACTCATGGTGAAAGCTCGCCGACCTATGGCTCGGATCGATTCATCTACCGGGCAAGATCCATAATAGCAATCTAGCAGAAGTTCACAATGTACATTCGCCATGTGGGGTAGGCCAAGTCTAGAGAAGAGGGTGGCTTGTAGAAGCATTTGGGTGCCGTGATTACTTACGTTTTCTCTCATATTGAGATGTGATGATTGGTATATGTACTCCAATGCGCGAGAAACAGAGTCCCCCTGTACAGATTAGTTTCGCAGATGATGGGATCAATTTCGCTACGTACCGTCCAGAGACTGAGCTTCGCTTCATTGAGCAGACTCGCACTCAAAAGGTTGTACATTTTCGTATCCTTTGCTTTGGCCTTCAGGAAGGTCAAAACATCCCGCTCGCTACCAAGCATGCTCATGTAGCCTGCACCTTTCATCTGTTTTGGGTGGGCCTTGGCCATATGGTTGAGCCAGCTCAGGCTGAAGCTCAAACAGGTCATATCTTGATTTTCTCGAGCTGTCGCGATGGTCTCTGTAATGGCAGCAATAGCCTCGCCAAAACAACCAAAGTCTGCTTGTAAAATGGCCATGTGTAGAAGGGCGTACTGGTAGTGGATCTTCTCGCGTGTCTGCATTGCGTAGTCGTAATAGCGATGCAAGTTGTCAAAAGAAGAAGTGTAGTCCCCAGCTTTCCACGCATCAAAAAATTGAACGAGATGAGCCTGTCGATGGACTAAGCCTGAGGAGCTGACCATGCTGCGAAGCTGGTGCTTCATGTTCTCAGGAACGCGATCGCCAAATCGCTGCAAACGGTCCAGCTGAAAGTCAAGTATCCGGTCAAGGTCATCGGTACTCAGCCCCTCTCCTTCTTGTTCTTGGTCTTCCAAATGTCCATATGTGACCTCGTACAGATCATCGCCAGGTCTTAGACCCATCTCTGCAGCAACTCTATCCACACCACCAGAAGCGATTCCGGCTAGCCGCTTCGTCCATTGGGATGTAGGAGCCCTGTACTTGACAAACAAGGACCAGAGCTTCATTGCATCATCGAATTGCAGCCTTGTGAACTCCAGTCGCGCCCTTCGGACGAAGGCGCCCAAAGGAGAAGTCTTCGAGAGAAATATGCGATCTGAAGATGGTTCATCCTGGCCGTCCGCAGAGAGTGGCGTGCTTAGAAGCTCTCCAAGGTTATCAATCAAGTCATGCAATGCATCAAACGAACTCAATTCCCACATGTGTTTTAGGAACAGATCGAGGAGCGTCCGGCCTGGCATGCTGGACGTATGTCCTTGGAGGACATCCTCGAAAAGGTCAATCGAAAAGGCGGCAGTGTGCTCTGAGGATGCAGGCCCAAAGGAGCGGTGGCTCTGAGCATTTGACGTCGGAGGAGAGACTGTGTGAGAAAGTATGAAAGAAAGGATTGGTATCGTTGCGGAGGTTGGTAGTGCCGAACTGCAGTAAAGGCGGACCAGGACTAGCAGGCTGATCTTCTGGGCTGTGAGGTAGCGTGGAGTTGCCATTTCGGACGTTGTGCATGCGCGGTAGTCGACGGGGCTTGGCCAAAGATAAACGCGAGTTGCAAGGTATCATGTATCTTCACAGCAGTCGCGTCGTGTTTGCTGACATGGTTAAGGTGGGTCTCCGTGCGCGAATGGGGGTCACCGCGTCTATGTAAGAGAGAAGGAGCGCAAGCGCGCGGTCAGATGATCACGCGTCACCCGCGGGGAAAATGAAAGCGGATCCCTGCGAAAATACTCTGCAGAATGATGTCCGCAAAATCACCATAGTCAGTGCGAAATCATGTTTGCGAGAGATTGAGTGCGAATGCAGCCGAGTAGGCTTCGTACATTTAACTGATAATCTTCTTCGGCGCCTCTCCAGTGCCAGAATCCACTCTCCGGACACTTTTTGAATAGTCTCCATGCTTGCTATGCCAATTCGGCAGACCGCTGATTGCGCCCCCAAAGTTCTCTAAAATATGATCATCCGGGTGGCAGTTTGTTGCCCATATCTTGCTGATGCTCAGATCGAACGGACCTGGAATCCGGTCAATCAGGCTCATGCCCACAGTCCGCACCTTTTGTGTCAACATTTCGCGCTGTGGCTCGACGACTTGCCCATGGTTTGTCCGCACAAACTCAGCCCAGCGAATGAGGATCAGCTCCCACTCTCCCGGCGTCTTCGAATACAGCAAGTGCTGGTGGATATCGGTAGGCACAATGGACTCGGTTTGCACGTTGACAAAGTACTTGCGGCCATCTGACTTGAACTGGATGGCAATGAAGTTGTACCTCTCTACATCCCACAGCGACTTGCCGAAGATGGTTGCGCCCCGGTCAAGCGTCCTCCATCCCGCATAACCTGTTCTCTGGATGTGCGGCTGGTTCTGCGGTAGCTGGGTCGAAATCTTGCCGTGGAAGCGGGCGTGTGCGGGCTCCGTCTGCGTGACGGGGTGGTAGTCCAGGTTTGCCGTGGAGAAGCCGCCAATGTCCTTGTCGCTCATGCGCTTGCACCTCGCGATATCTTCGGGTTGCTCGAAGTGGATAAGAGGAAAGGGCTTCGTGGGCGACGTCAGGCCCTCGAGCTTGAGCGCTGCGCTAGTCAGTCTTCGCAAGCCGCGGTAGATGGCGATGGTGGAGCTCACCAAAGTTGGAGAGGCGCTTGAACTCGTCCAGGCTCCGCTTCATGAAGCCTGGCGCAAGACACGCTGTCGTTGGTCGCATTGTGGAGCTAGGGCCGAGATGTGTCTGTAGAGGGCCTGGACGAGGGCACTTGGAATGAGGCTCAGTGACGTTTCGCCGCGGTGGTCTTCGCCGGCCGCCTTGCCGCATCGGTCGCCATGTGTCTAAATTTTGGAGCCCCAATGTCATGCACAACACCACGATTTCACTGACATCACGAATGATACTTGCAAAAGCTACACCGCCCTCCGCCCTCCGCTCTTCCCCTCTTCCGTGCAGTTTGCCTGCAGCGCCTGCCCGGCCGACCTGATTCCTCTGTTCGCCACGCGCAATCCTCACCTAGATGACCCTCAACCACGCCGCCGAACCTGGCACTCGAGACGACACCTCGCAGCCCTTGCAGACGCTGCCGCCCTCGTCGCGCGAGCTTGGCGAGATTCTCCCACCTAAACTCCCAGACGGTGCCCCGGTGACAGCACAGGGACCGGCCTTTGCGAAGTCATGGGCGCATTTTGTCGCTGGAGGGTGAGGCAACCCTGATTCCGAGGGAAAGACTTGCGAGAGAAGACTAACTCGTCACAGCCTCGGTGGCATGGCATCCGCAACGTTGACAGCCCCCCTCGACGTACTTAAGACTCGTTTGCAGTCCACATACTACCAACAACATCTTGCTGCTATGCGTGCTGCTCGAGGTTTGCCTCCCATTGAAAGCATGTCTTTCGGACGCAGCTCGTTACTACACATCCGCGAAACAGGCGAAATATTGTGGCAGGTTCCAAAGGCCGAGGGATGGCGAGCGCTGTTTAAAGGCCTTGGGCCAAACCTCATTGGTGTAGTGCCAGCTCGCGCCATCAACTTCTACGCATATGGAAACGGCAAGCGGATCATCAGCAACCAGTTCAACAACGGACAAGAGGCGGCATGGGTGCACTTGTGCTCTGCAGCCTCTGCCGGGATAATGACTGGAACAGCAACGAACCCCATCTGGCTCGTCAAAACTCGTCTACAACTGGATAAGCACACACATGCGGATGGGCGAGGTCGCCAGTACAGAAATGCTCTCGACTGCACCATGCAGACGATACGCAAAGAAGGCATCTCTGGTCTCTACCGAGGATTGACGGCGAGCTACCTTGGGGTGACTGAGAGCACGTTACAGTGGATGCTGTACGAGCAGATGAAGCTGGCTCTGGCACGGCGAGAAGATCGGATTGTGGCCAGTGGACGTCCGCCGACCGTCTGGGACCAAACCGTTGCGTGGTCCGGCAAGGTCTCCGCGGCTGGAGCTGCCAAATTCATTGCCGCTATAATCACATATCCTCATGAGGTACGAGCTTGGCGACATCATCCGCTACCGCAATACTAATATGGGGCAGGTGGTCCGAACGCGGTTACGACAAGCACCTCAACAAGATGGACGACAGAAGTACACTGGTCTAGCACAATGTTTCCGCCTCATCTGGAAGGAGGAAGGCATGGCAGCGCTTTATGGTGGCCTCGTACCCCACATGTTCCGCGTGGTCCCTAGTGCTGCTATCATGTTTGGGACATACGAGGGTGTGCTGAAGCTACTCGGCGAGAGCAGTAATATGTGAGATACGCTTGTTGACCGCATAGACTCATTAACGGATGTACAAACACTTGAATATGCATTGAGTGGCGTTATGGAGAAGACCTGGGTGTTTTTGGGGTCTAGAAAGCAATGCATGTCACGGCAAAAAGAGGGCAATGTATAACGATGTACTTTTACGAAGACCACGGATCAGCACGATTGAATTGCATGAAGAAATGATGTGCTTGGAGTCAAAGCATTCAGATGGCCTCAGACTTAGAGCAAATCGATTCAAAAGAGGCAGGTATCAATATGATCAGCTTGAGACTAAAGAAATATTTGTGGGACACTCACTCACCGACGGGTGATGGCTTTCGCGCGACCGAGTCCAGTAGAGACAATGTCCGAAAATTTGCTTGCTCGTTAGGAGCTGAAGTCGCAGTTTTGGACATAATGGCATTGCGCCGGGCTAGCTAGCGTCTCGGAAGTCCGATGAGCACAGACTATGCCCGCCCATTGCGAACTTCAAACTTTCGACACTGCACAGCAATATCAAGGATCGCCTATACGATTAGCACCATGTCATCCAACCTTCCCCTCCGTACGATTCGAATACCCGCCCTTCGCAACCAATGCCTCCATCAACAGCGTCGGCACGCGCAATCGCCGCGCGCCTTCTCCACTACCAGTCCACAAGCATTCGCCTCAAGTTCCCCACGACTGCGAGGCGGGAGCTCTCTGGGTCAAGATAGAGCCATTACTAGAGCTGCGACGAGAACTATGATAGGACCAGCACCAAAGGTCAACGAAATCAAGGCGCAAGAAGAGGGTGCCTTGTCGGACGACATTGGGTTATTGCAAGATACGGTCGTCCGCGCGCCTTGGGGCAGATTGCCAGGCATGTGGACGCCGGGCTTTTGGGGCTACATGTGGAAGTTAATAAAAAGCAAGGGAACATCGTTGTACTCGTATGTTTGAATCAAGACACGCATCGAATACGACAGAAGCAAGACTACTGACGAACTGCCCAGGAGAATACTGTACAAACGCTGCATATACAAGACAGGGTGGGGGAGGTTCACTGCTATCGATGCAGGAAACAAGAGTTACATTAAAGACAGGGCGATGAACCTTTACATCCAGCTATATGTCAATTTCGCAAGGTAGGAGCGCCCCATCTCCGCAAACAAATGCCTCTGCGTCTGCTAAAACGATTCGACAGAGGAGACATGTCCCCCGTATCCCAATTCTGCCTTTCGCCGGTTCTCCGAAGCTTCCAGGACCGTATAGCCGCTCGCGGACCTCTCACAATGGAATGGCAACTAACAAAAACTCCATCCATGAGGATAGTCTCGCACCGCGCATCTTTGTTTGGTGAAGATCAGCCCGATACGGCTTACCGTCAAGCTGTAATTCGAATTGTATCCACTCAGAAGCTCACCGTAAAGCCCTCGGTTGTTTCTATGGGTACGAGTTCCAGCGTTTCCAAATCTGTGAACAGGACCAGGAGTCGAAAGAGCATCGAAGAATCTCACGAGGTGGACGGAGACACGGCCTTTCCAGAAAGCACACAGCCACGAAAAGTCGTCGAGTATTTCGTATTACAGCGTCGGGTCATCAAGGGACAAGAAGAGGACTGGAAAATCTGGGGCTTTACGCAAGCAAGCACGCCAGCCAAGATCGAGGATGATGAGGCTTATTGGCGGAAGACACTAAACTCGCAGGCTGCTGGGGCTTGAAAATAGGATCTGATCAGACATCGAACGCAAGAGAATTATTCTGTACTACTACTTCCACTGTATATCAAGGCACAGTATTGTTGCGGCTCACGATGAACGTTGCTATTGGATGTCTGATTGGGCATGCACGCGCACCAATGTCATGAAAATGGCTTTTAGCACATGCTGAATTCACTCCTGAAATGCTGGTGGAATTTTGTTAAATGCCAGGGACCTGAAAGAGCCACCCTCCCGTCATCCGTCGCATTCCGTTGACAAGACCTTTCCTGTAACCCTACGCCAACTCTGCTTGGTTCTCCTTGTTGTCGTGAAGTAACTGCCCCATACCGCGTTTTGCGATAGCCATCAAACACGGAGCAAGCAGTGGTTGACAGCTTGAGTAAGAAGGTTTCGGACTTAGAAACCATGGACCTACAGAGTTATTAGCATTTCTCTGAGCAATCAAGCAAGGGTGCAGTACTCACTTTGATAGTCTTTGTATCGAGGCCTAATCCCTCTTTCTTGTCTGTGAGAAAGTCCTGAACGTCCTTGCGCTGGTCGCCCTGGAGCTGAACTACCTCTCCCATCTCAACGTCCGTAACAATGGTGCCATTGCAGGCAAACTTCTTCTTGATCACCTTGAGGATCTTCTTCTGGTCGAACTTCTTGGGCAGCCCTTGGACTGTAGTCAAGGTCTTACGTCCATTGCGTTCTGGCAAAAGTCAGTTGGTGAGCGGAAACATGCGGCCGCGTGCATGAGGTGACGGGGACGGAGACGAGGGCGGTGAGATGAGTTCGCACGCTATGGCAGACCCAAACCAACGGCAACAAGTGATTGTGGAAGAATGGACATACGTTGTATACGAATGTGAATGTAGTCCTGCTGACTCTGCTTGACCTGGCCGGTATCTTCATCCGCTTCCGCGAACGGGTCGAAAGTTTTGAGATTCTCGATTGACATACGAGAACTGTTTCCGGCGCGCTTGAGGTGGGGCTGGATGTGCGACTGAGGTAGGCGAGTGTTGGGGCTTGCGTGGTTGAGGATGGAGAGTTTGTTGTTCCGTGGAGCTGTTTGGGCTGAGGGAGCGAGATGTTAATGTTCTTCAGGGTTGGGGAGGAAAGAGGTGGGGGGAAATGCGGTAACTGCGCCCCGCTAGAGTCCGTGCGCGGCGTGCGGTCTTGTTGGTGCACTTGCCAATTCGAGAACCATCGACTTCTTTGAAAGGATGATTCACATGTCATGTCCTAGAAAGTGTGCCATGGTCTGATATCATTTCGAGACAACACAGGCAACAAAGTAAGATGAATCCGAAAGCTGCTGAACCTACACCGCGGGACAACATATAGCCCGAGTCTACGAGGAGCTCCCACTGAACACCGTGTGAGGCGATTTGGTCAGACATCTCTTTACGCAACACGTGAATTCTTATCATGCTGCCAACGGAAAGGGCTTGTCTTCTGTTATTATCGATTACATGGAATAATGTACATGTTTTCCCAGGCCTGATCTTCGACGACTTCAACCTCCAATGCAAGTTATGCGCTCATGGCCCTGGTAACACTTACTCAAGAGGGAGGTGCTGCAGGCGGTGCCTCTGTCCCGGAAGCCATTCCGGGACTGCCTGGAGGTGGCGGCAGAAATAGCGAAGAGTAGCTCTGTGTCACGCAATCAGTCGTCGCATTTGGCGTTCCACAGCAGTAAGACTTACAACAAGAAGCGACATGGCTGCAACATGGTTAGTGGTGCGAACAAAACGCAGGCTGGAGACTTACCAGACATGCCAACCTGGAAGTAGGCGGGTGTTGAGGACGTTTTCGCCTGCTCTGGCGACTCAGCGAGCCATGATTGTATGGCAAAAACTACAGCAACCCTATGGCTGGTCAGCATGGGCGGTGACACGAATTTGAAAAGCCATACCAGCCGATCATCCTAATAGGAGCATGTGATGTCAGTCGTGTTTGCTTGCACAATTACCGGGGAAGAGCGTACTTGTTTCGAGTAAAGATCTGGAGCACAATGTCAGCCATCCGTGGAACATGGGGTGCAGCGCAGCACTTACAGCAGCCATGGGCAGCGTGCTTGCCATGGTGCCTGAGACCTTGGTCAGCGTCCAGATGCGGTGTAGCTAGAGCAGGCATGCCTTACTCGCCATGTCACCGTCTGACTTGTCCTTTGCCGGTTCGGCGTATGGCACAACTAGAGCGCCATGTCAGCACGTGACACGTGGATGGTGATTTCCAAGGTTCGCTGGATAGGAGACGGCGGCGGCACCAGCAGGTCGACGAAGCACGTACTGAGATCGGGCCGGCGCATGTCCTTTCGTGACGACATGATGGAGCTGATAGTTGATGTGCGGTTTCCAGAATATGTGCAGCCGCGAGTGGAGACAGAGGGAGTGAGGCAGATGGTGTGAGATGCGGTCGCGTCGTGTCGAGGCAGGCTGGCTTGTGCGTGTGCTTGGGCGCTGAGGGTCCGCGGCAGGCGTGTCTCCGCGCATCGGGAAATGTTGCGCGCTGAGCTGAGGCCATGGCATGGGTCAATGCCAGGACATGGCTTGCTAGAGGCTAGGAACGTATGAACCCGGCCCGCTCCTGATCTGATCGCTGCATCAGTGCATCTTAAGAGAGATAGCCTCATACCTCAACCCCTCGGCAGTCCCCGCCTGCCACGACTGCGCTGCATCTCTCGCAGCATCAAGCTTCACACACGCTCCTTCGGCTGGGCGCTGCTTGCCTCTCATCCATCACCCATCGCATCGACACGCCCACGGCCCCGTCAGCGCCCTGCCCCCGACCCCGTCCCCGACCGCGACCTCGGCCTCGACCTCCCTTCCCTCCGCATGCGCCTGATTCAAAGATGATGCCGCGCTGTGTGCGATGACTTCTCGTCCTGCCCTGGGGACTCATGGCAGTGGTGCGCCCTCGCGGAACCAGGTGCGGCGGCCCTCGAAGCCGGCCAACGCTCTCCCGCCCGACTGCATCGATCCCACGCTCGAGGACGAGAGACCTGCCGCCCACAACGGCGCCAGCGAGGCCAGGCCGCCGCCGAGAGGCAGGCCACACATCTTCTACAGCACCCTTGCCAGCAGTGCCTTCGACCTGCCCATCCACTCCTTCCCCTATCAACCCACCGTGAATCTCCCCGTGCCTCCACGGCCCGGTTCTCTGCACCTGAGAGATGCCTCCCAGCAGCGCCAGATCCTGCCGGGAGGGACAGGTGTGAAGGATGCGCCGAAGCTGGGTGTCCCCGAGACGGTGCCTATCCCGGTGCACTTTCCAGGCGAGAAGGCTGCGGACGTCTTCCCATGGACTGGTACCAATGCCGAGGATACCCTCTCCGAGGCGCTGGTCAAGGCAGGGGTGAGCAACAAGCCGCAGATTATGAACGAGACGAACACTGCCCGGCCATCGCTGTGGTCCAACCTCAAAAACAAGTCGGGCATTACGACGCTGTCCACGCTGTTCGTTGCCGTGCTGGAGAAGAGGCAGCAGAATGGCCGCCTGCAAACGCCCAACACCTTCAAGCCTCCGCCACGCCTGACGCTGCGAGACTCGACCCGCGAGGGGTGGCTCCACGATCTCGCAAACCCCACGGTAAGCCTCCGGAGGCTGAGCCGCACCATTCCGCATGGCCTCACAGGAAAGGTCCTGCTCGACCAATGTCTGAACAAGAACATCCCGCTCCCACGAGCTCTTTGGCTCGCCAAGTGTGTCGGTATCAACGAGCTGCGTGCGCACAAGCGTAAGGGCCAAGCAGGCACTGTGACCTGGGGCAGAGGTTGGACAAGCTCTGTAGAGCAATTCCTCGATAGTGTCATATCCACCATCGGACAGGGCGATTGGAAGCTTCGCATCACTTACGCGTAAGACATCGTAATCCAGCAGAAACTGCGGCTAACATGAACAGTCTACAATTGGCAACGCATTTGTACAAGGAACACCTTCTTGATGATGACCATTTCCTGGGTTGGATACCTTTTGGGTTGGACATGTGTTCCTCCGAGCGTCTATTTATATGGCTCCTCGTTGTAGCAGTTCCGCATTATTGGAATGACATCAGTTCCTGTCGGCAACGCGGCAAGCGCCTGGCAGAGTCGCTCCTCAATCATCTTGCCAAGGTATGGCTTGGAACAGTTTCCTGTTGACATGTAGCACACTAAGATTTCACAGCTCTCCCCAATCGAAGACCTTGCTGCACCTTCGACGGCGCTCCAATTCCTAGAGAACAGTCTTCTGAAGCTTGTCACGACTCGACCAGCATGTTTGCTTCTCCCGATCTCCTGGCCCAAGCACAGCGCGGCTCTCAAAGCCCTCGTAACCAAGCGGAATCTTCCTCAAACTGCGCAAGCTGTCGAGAAGCTAGATGGCAGGAACACTAGGCTGCTCTCGTTTGTCAGAAACGGTAAATCCTCATCTCGCACTGGTGCTGCTCGTGTGTTTCATAAGCTTGATTCCATCAATTACGCGGCTCCAATCCGGATCGAGGATCTATCCTACGAGTGCATGGAGATCACATCAAATGCTGTTCAGCTAATCTCAACCCTCTTACACTGGGCGTGCTCTTGTTACCGCGCCGGTTCCCACAGGATCTATTTAGCAACTCGGTTACTTCGTCGTTGGAGTCACCTTGGTGCAGATGTGTATGAAGGCATCATCGTTTACCTTCAGAGCATGAGTTGGGTAAAATCAGGGGAGATACACGTCTTGTTACGAATTGTGGCTGAACTAGTCCGCTCTAAACACTTCTCCGTGGGCCGCTATCTTCAGTGGCTCATAGCCACAGGATCTTTGGGATGCGATGCAAGTCTATCTTTGGTGAGTCAATAGTCAACACTCTCATGTTTTACGTTGGTCATGCTAACTTTACACAGCCTTCTTCGTGGCCGGTACGACTCATCACCGAGGTGCCGCTCACCGGACTATCTGACCAAGTGCGCACGCTGCGCTCTACGCTCCTACGAGGGACTGCTCACTCGACTGAGTTGGAAGAACAAGCTTTAGTAAATGTTAAACAAAGCATCTCACAAGCAGTCCCAGCAATTTTTGGTCTCAGTCTCACAATTCCAAGTCGTATTGAACTCAATTTTGCGAAACTCAGCGGGACAATTCGGCTCGAAATTGGAATCTGGTTGCGGCAACAGGTTGCACAACACGCAGAGGTGAATGAACAGTGAGTCTGAACCTATCTCCGCATTTCTAACTTGCCTAACGCAGAGCAGTGTACCGACCAAGGACATTTCCGTCGAAGAAACAGCTGCAGTGTCTTTGATTTCATGCTATGACTACCATGTGGTTAGGTCATACCTTGAGCAGTGCGAGGACCTAGCTATACTTGCTGATGTCATTGGTATCACCGCATCCTCCTTAGACATGGCCGTTCTTGCTTCCGTGGCGGACACTCTTCTTTATCACATGAAGACTTTCCGTGCCATAGGTGCCTTCGATCCTCTTCTGGGACGGCTAGCGATGCGATATGCAGCTATCAGGACGGTGAAATTTCCTGAGCGCGAGCTTCTTCTCAGTTTTCAGAACCTTGCTCGCACAGCGCAGCCGGACGGCCAACTACTGCAATTACTAGCATACGACTTGAGTCGTCTCGATCAGAAGAACGCTGTTGCAGCCTGCTCACCTGCTTCCGACAACATGGGAGAAGTCATGCAGCACGCTGGCACATGCTCTGACGATGAGATTGAACGAATATTGTCAAGTGGCACTAGTATGGATCAGAATATGATGTCCCGTGTACTCCGTAAGCTTGTCCGCAACCTCGAAGAGCACGTAGACAAGGGCTATCGGCAGTTCGAAAATCACCCGGCTTGGTTCTGGCGGCTGCGCAACTTCGATGAAGCAACCTTTGACGTGGTGCTTCGTGAATGGTTGGAAACCAGTATAATGGCTTGTCAGTTGCACATACTGCAGATCGCCATTCCTCCTTTGGTCGCCTCGAGCTGCATGGAATTATCGAGTTTTTTGGACATCTTGCGTAGTTGCCTGGCAAACGCGAAGGCCACACAAGTCTTGGAGCCTGCCACTATTGCCATAGACTTGCTACGCTTACTTCTCCCGTCAGGATTGTCGGCCATGTCTTGCTCATCCCAAGATGCTTATCGATACCGGACTGAGCAGTACAAGCTGTGTTTCACCTCCGACACACGCATCATACATTGCATTGGCGAGGTGGCGGATTTGGTCTTGTCGACACCGTCGAACTCAATGCTGCAAACCGTATCCAGCCTGCTAAGTAGCGAAACAGTCCTGTCGATCGTGAAAGAACATGTTGTTTCTGACCCGGATTGTCTCTCAAAGATGAAGACGGGTCAATCTGGACAAGCATCGTTCAACACATGTTTCAAAACTTTGTTGAATGGCCTCCTTGATCCCTCTGGACAATGGTGTGAGTACCAAAGCAATGTCCTTATTTTCAAACCAGGGCTGACAAGTATCACAGGTCTTGCCGACATCTCTCCGGAAGAGCAAATAATTGCCGTTTTCAAAGCTGCCAGCGAGCTTTCCTTACCACTCTGCCAAGCTATGATTGAACACATATTTGCGTCAAGCAGCGCACTTGATACACATGCAGTAGATCGACTCTCAGTAACTGTATTGAATGCAGTCAGGACATCGATGGAAAAAGATCAGTCGCAGGGACTAGAGTTACTCACAAACCTTGAAGGTCCTCTCGCAGATAAGGTCAGAACCTCTAGACACGTTTTGGAAGAACGTCATCGTTGACATCTTTAGATACGGAGCCACGCCGAACGCGAGGTCCTTGATGCATCATACTTCCTCCTCCGTGGTTCGACAGATGGTATTGCTAGTGATTGCATTGTCACCGCAAAGATGATGCAAAAATACCTCACAGTCATCGAGCTCACTATGGGTGAAACTCCACAGGCTGACGAGCAGTTTGCGATGCTAGCTGCTCTGACAGATCGTTTTAAGGGTATTTTTCACGCTTTGAGCGAATGTGGTGGACTTGGAACCCCCACTAATCAAGCCACTGCTTCGCCGGTCGTCCAAGTGTATGCATGGTACAGTCCTCGCCAGTTTAGTATCAACTTGAGCTAACATATTGCAGGCTGGCAGCACTTCTTAGCCTCGTAGCTTCACATGGACCGCAACTGTTACGCAATGCAACGCAATCACACCAGGCTGCTCTGATGGTGGCACTACAAGACATCGTTACGCACGCCAGCCTAGAGCTGTTTCCGTCCATAATCGAACATGTCTTCGACGTCTTGATTGTCTTGTCCGATCACATATCTGAAGACGTCCGCAATCAGATTGCTCGCCTAGAGAGTGCAAAATCGACCAATTCAGATCGAGCTTACTTTATCCATAGCCAAAAAGCTCCTATCGACGGTTGGCTTATGTTGACCAAACCTGTCATACCTCCGCTCGAACCCCCTCAACCGCCAAACCCAAATACGACACAAAATCAATCCTCCCCATACCAGAGCCCTCAAATGACTTCCAATACGGCAGCACCTCAACACCGTTACTTCAACCAGCAGCAGCAGCAATCGCAGACATTGCAACCATCACAACAAACGCAACACATGCGTACATATCCTCAATACGCGCAGCACGCCGCGCAACCGAATCGACATCTGCCAGCTCAGCTCCAACGTACACCATCTCATCATGCTTCACTCTCGCCCCTCCAGCAAATGCAGCACATGCAACAATTACAGGGGCTCGCACAACAGCGCGCCTCGCAACCCTCACCAATTCACTCGCAGCGGCCGACTTCTGTAGCGAGTCCCGGTGGTATGGGAGGTCTCGCAGGCGGCAATGCAGCGCCTAGCAAAGCACACACATCGTATGTGAATCAGCAAAGAGACACCCAGCAGTATCCATTTGTACAGCCTCGCTGGGAAATCCTTGCTGAGAGTTCAGGCAATCCAACTCTTAACGAGACGGCAATCAGCTTGAGTCTCTTCGGGGCTAGAAGAGTGTGAGCAGACTAGTCATTATCTTTCATGCTTCTGGCAACATCCATCGCAATCAGCCTCTCGTATTCACCTCGTTTGGCTCGGGTTGGGCTTCGAGCGTCATGTACGAGGCAAGCGTATGTCATTTGCTTTTTCTTTTATAGTTTTGTGGATCATGAAACGACAGATCTTGCATGGAACTGGCGTCTTGTGGGGTTATGCATGGCTACTGCATTACAACATTGGAGTTATTACACATCACACAAGGTACATGCACACACAGGTTCTTCTGATAGAGTGGGCCCAGTTCTTTCATTCATTGGAGGGATGGTCAATGGTTTTTGGACGTCCGACCACAGTACAGCTCCGCTTATATACCTCTAAGAAGTACCTGTTTTCGAGACCACTTTGCTACTGAGAAGGTCGGTTCAGGATGCACTCCTAGTGCAAAGCTCCTTGAACTTCTCATCCCAACCTTTCGCCATTGTGATGTTCTTCAAGTTCTTTTCAGGATTCGTCCGCTGAGAGACGGCCCACATGTCGAATGCCATCATACCTTCGTCTCCATGCTCGTCCTCATCTCCAGATACAGGCCTATACACCGGGACGTCTTTGCATTGACCCACAAACTCGTCCAGAAGTGTAAGTGTCTGATTTGAGCACGACTGATGAGGGTCGCCGTAGCCGGGGTATCGCAAGATGGGTGGCGCACCGTTGACCAAGCGGTATCGCGTTGTGACATTGTTGAGCGTATATACGAGTGGCTTCGCATCAATAGACTGTGGGAACTGAAGACTACTCTGATCAAAGGCTTTCAGGAACGCGGGGTCGGAGTTCAACTGAAAAGCCAGTCGTCTCGTGCGCTCTGTGTGCGTCTTGATGATGCCAATCGCTGCCATAGGAACGTAGCGTACAGAGTCATTGTCATCTTCCTCGAAGCCGGCAATACCCGGGCTTCCTTTATGTAGGAATTGCTCCCAAGGCTTCAATCCACTCACCCACGGTCCCGTGTTATAGGCTCCCGCTGGACCCCACGTTTCTCCGCTTGGCGTATGTATGAGCTGTTCCCTGTGCACTTTCCTGCTCTCGGTACCATGTATTACTCTGTCTACAAGCTCTACCGTAGCTTTGAAATCGGACTTGAATGAGTGCGCAGCAGCTAGCGCAATCTCGCTGCCGGAACCCGTAACTCCTCTTGCCAAGACTGCATCGCAAGGAAACCAAACGTGCATCTCGTGCCAGATATCAAGCAGGTAAAACCAGAGTCCGGACATGACACCATTGTCGTACATGAGGAAGTCGGCGAAGTAGTCGAGTAGACGACAGGCGCCCTCCCAGAACGTCGTGGAGAATGCTTTGGCACATGGAGTGCAGGGCCAGTGGTCTTCAGACTGTCGATGAGAGCATATTCGATGCTTGAGCAGTAATTTGATGGACTTGTAGATGGACTCAAAGTTCAACTCATTATTTCCGTTGATATAGAGCGTTGTAAGAACCGTTTTCTGGGAGTGGTCGTGGACGAGAATGATGGGTGTATCGGGAGGAACAGGAGGAAGCACCTTGGGTGTGTACTGCGATCGTAGCGACTGCATAGCCCCGATCCGTGTCTGGTAAATTCCTACACAATGTGGAAGCTATGTGCGTGGTAGAGGGGCGAGAAAGGTGAGGCTTGGGTTGTATTGACAAAGAAGCAGGTTGCTAGGACAGCTCACCTGACGACGGGCGTTTGCTTAGAATTTCTGCGCGCACGCACGTGGCAGAGATGTAAACAAACTTAGGCAACCATGATTGAGGACTCATGTATTGCTTGTGCCATAATTGCCGGGATGCACCACGAGCTCGTGAGATGAGTCACTCGAAGCTCTACGGCCTAGTCTATAGTTCCACCACAGTTCATATGTACCGCGACATCCTACTTAAAGTACTCATCCTTCCATGCTGCATGTTGCTAAGTAAAGCTTCTTCTAGTGCCGACTGGCTGATACCCGCATCTACAAGGATTAGCAACAGGTCTTGTAGCAACAGGCTGTGTTCCATACCATCGATATCGCTAAAACTACTGCCCATACTTGGCGTCCCTTCACTTCCTTCCTTTCCCAACTTTGGACCTTTCTGCTTTGGGCTACCTGGCCCATCTAGTTCAGTGCGCTGGATGGATTGTGGTGATTTTGGGGTCGTTGTTCCTGAGATTGGAACAAGCAAGTCACTCTCAGATGTTGAATTCGTCACTGAAGATGCCGTCTGTTTAGTACGTTGTGATTGCTGACCGACCATGTTTTGTCGGAGAGGTCTCGCATTTTGAGATCCATCGTCTTGTCCTGTGTGCTGACCTGCCTTGACACTTGATTTCGACCTGATGTCGTTGACATAATTCGTACCTATAGGCCGCCGGGTGATGGACGCAAAAGGTAGGCTCGAGGCGCCATGCAAGCCGGAGTTCTCAGTGCCCTGACTCCCTGATTTGTCTTTAAACGAAGACAGATTTCGAGACTGCTGGAGCTTGAAGCGCGGTGGCCTTTTAAAAAGCTGGCTCCGGTGGGCTGGGTGATCTGTATCTGACGATGAAGAAGAGCTCGAAGATAATGAGTCAGGATCGCCCGGCGAGTCCAATGTATCTGTCAATGTGCTTGGCGGAGCAAGAGCCGTAGAGAGTCGGTCCTCTGATCTGGGGCTGGGTAAAACCGGTCTTTGCAAGGTTCGAGTCGATTTTGGCTGTAGCGGGGGTTGCTGGGCAATTGCGCGAGACTGGGTGATGGTGTTCGTTGAAGGCGTCCTCGATAATGGCGGCGCTTTTCTGATTAGTGGTTCTATCTTATGATAAAAGAGCCTGTATTCAGCGAGCGACTTACAGGTAACAGTGGGTTCTCCTCCGCGTAGACTGGGACTTTCTCTCTGACGGCCCGAGAGCGCGGAGTTACTCCTTTGCGCTATACAGGTCTTAGTGTGAGTCTTAGCTGCGAATCGTATAGCATACCTCCGGAACCACCACTTCCTGTCCTGAGCATGGCTATGCCACCCGGGGCAGTCAAAGTGCTTGCATCATTGGTAGACACAGGTATACCAGAGCCGCTGACTTTCTTCATCTGGTTTCGTACATGATCTAAATGACGCTCATATAGCCAAGCAGCTTGTTGGAGAAGGAAAGTTGGTGGCACTTGGAATTTATCTGCTCTGTGTCGGTTTAGTCGCTTTGATGACAATCATTGATCGGCAGGTGCATACAGCTCAACCCCTGTGACTGTCAGTGTTCAGTCCAGCAACTATGACAATACTCTCACAGTTAAGGTCGCTTGTTTTCGATGATTTTGAGATGACTTTCCAGAGCTGTCGGTCCTTGTCGGCATCCCATTGTGCCTGGATAATATTCAGCGATTGTCAGAAGCCAAGGTTGTTGCTCATACCTGAGGAGGGTCTACAAAATGACCTCGAGCGAACGGTAAACGTATCAACGCGACGAATTGCACGTGTGACATTTCTAACGAGCTAACGAGACTGAGACCAGATTTTGGTGTAGATAGGTCAGAGTTGGAGATGAGATGGGATGACGCCGCGTGCGTACCTAGGCTGACATAGGACTAACAAGTTGCTGGGGAATTGGGCCCCTGTAAGCGCCTCACGCACCAGCCACCCGTGACCCCACATCCGTGCGTCATGCAGGGCAACCATAAAATAAAATACTCAGTGCGGGCACTTGCATGCCCCCAATCTTTATGCGCAGAACGGCCATCCATGAAATCAACCAAGATGCCTTCAACTGCCATGGTGAACATCGACATCAAAGGAAAGCTACCAAAAGTAGCGTCAGGGAAAGTTCGCGATCTGTACGCTGTTGACGATAACATTCTGCTTTTCGTCGCGAGCGATCGAATTTCTGCATACGATGTGATTATGGAAAATGTGAGTTAGACCATGGTCACTGGCTGAGTCTTACCTCCGTCCCGCATGCATGTTCGAATCATCATTTTCCCATCTTTACTCGAAGCTTTCTGATGTTCATGGTAGGGCATCCCTGGCAAAGGCGCGCTCTTGACTTCAATGTCAGCATACTGGTTCAAGTACCTACCCAATCATGTGCCTGGACTCAGAACCCATTTCATCACTTCCTCTCTTCCTCCCATTCTTGCCTCAGAGACCTACCTCCAGGAGCGATCTATGCAAGTTCGTCGACTTCGCATCATTCCCATCGAATCCATCGTCCGGGGCTACATCACCGGCTCTGGGTGGTCTGAGTACCGCAAGTCGGGCACTGTGAACGGAATCAGCTTACCAGAGGGTTTGATTGAGGGCCAGAAACTACCAAGTCCATTGTGGACACCAAGCACCAAGGCTGAAGTGGGCGGAAAGGATGAGAATATCAGCCCTGAAGCCGCACGACAAGTCATTGGCAACTCATCGATTGCTGCAAAGGTGGAGGAATTGAGTTTAGCCATCTACACCGCCGCCGCAGCCCGTGCAGAATCTGTTGGAATCATTCTTGCGGATACCAAGTTTGAGTTTGGCCTGGACGCAGATGACAACGTTGTCCTTGTCGATGAGGTCCTGACACCGGACAGTTCACGGTTCTGGCCGAAGGAAACGTGGGAGATCAACCTCGGAAAGGCTCAGCCAAGCTTCGACAAACAGTTTCTCCGGGATTGGCTGACGAGCGAGGGGTTGAAGGGAAAGGATGGGGTCACGGTGCCAGAAGAAATCGTGAAGAAGACCGCAGAGAAGTACAGAGAGGCTTACGAAAAGATTGCCGGGGCCAGCGCATAAGTGTCCGATCTCATGGCACTGTGCAAAGCATTGCAAGCCAGCTGACAGGCACACCTTGGTCTTTAATTGAGAACCATTTCATTAATGATATAAATCAAGCAGCCGCCACGGCTTGTCCCAGCTTGATCAGGTCTAACTCTCCGTCTCCGCCGAGATCGTCCAGTCCATGAAAGCCTTCTTCGACTACCCATTTTTGTTCGTACTTCATCAAGACCTTACATGCATGTCCCACGACAAGTAAACCTGGAGGCCTACTGCCTTCTTCCTCCACTGCAGCACAAACATGCTCTAGGTTTGTCCTGATTACCCGTTGATCGGGACAACTCGCTCGCTCCAGTACGGCAACTGGTAGTTCCTTGGGGTAACCCTTTTTTGTTAAGTCGTCCACAAGTGCAGAAAGACGATGAAGAGACATGAGCAAAACGAGCGTGCGCGATGCAACAAAGTCGGGTGGGTCGAGTGGAGCACCTTTTCTGCCTGTTCCTGTGCAGATCAGCACCTGGTCTGCAACACCACGGTGCGTCGCTGGGATAGCTGCAAAAAGTGGTGCAGACAGCGCACTTGTGATACCAGGCAACACACTTGGTATATAACCATGCGCACGAAAGAAATCGTACTCTTCACCACCTCGCCCATAGATATATGGATCACCCTGTTTGATCCTCACAACCACTTTGCCGGCTTTGAGACCTTCGAGACCAAGTTCGAGAAGCTCTTCCTGTGCCTTGTCTGCGTTGCCAGGAAATTTGCGTGCAATATGGACAGTTGCACAGCGGGGGACAAGATCGAGGATGGGTGAAGGCACGAGCTTATCAGCAAGGATGAGATCGGCAGAGAGTATAGCTTTGTGTGCAGCGCGAGTGAGGAGGTCGGGGTTTCCGGGTCCGGAACCCGCAAGAATGATGCGACCTAGTCGCTCTCCAGCCACAGGCGACGTAGGTCCCACTTTTGAGGGACTGCTGCGGGCGAATTCGCGAAAGAGTGTGTCAATATCGCTGTCCGTGATTGCGGCAAGTCGACGGAGTGGCCAGTATTCGCATATCTGGGACAGCCAGCGCATACGTCGACCTCGAGCAGCTTCCTTACTTTCCTCTAAGACTAGCTTGTTGAATGTAGCTGTCTGGCCGCTGTCCTCTTCTTCCGCCTCCAAATCCTGTGATAGCTCAGCGGCATGGTCCTCTTCCCAAATGCGTCGTCGCAACGACCCAAGTCTCTCGACAGCGTCGCCTAGTCGGGTAGGTAAAGACGCCGCTATTTCCCTGCGTATTCTTGCTGCGAGTTTGCAGCCCTTGCCAGATGTCGTAACGCCAATCTGCAAGGGGCCATCGGAGTGAGTGGAGAGGAGCGTGAAGGAGCAGAGGTTTGGGGCGTCTGCAACATTAACGGGTATGCGTAGCCTTCGGCAAAGGCTCGAGATGTGCGTAGCTGTGGCGACTTAGTATGGCTGTCATGCTGTTGCTCGGGCATACCAACCGGAGGTATGTTTGCCACCTGCGGTAACGTAGACTGCATCAACCACACCATCTACTTCGGCACGGCCCAGCGTGGTCAAGTCCTCGTCAACGAAGCTTCGCTGTAGCCACTTGACTTCGCCGGCCTCGATGCGCTTGATCAGACCATAGTGTAACGTGGAGTCTTCCGGTGCTATGAGAATTGGCTTTGCACCAACCTCAACTGCTCGCGAGCATCTTGCGCCCGCCAGTGGATTCGAACCGATAATCAGGTGGACCTGGGAGGTTGCGTCTACTGCTGTGAGAAGCGCGGGGGCCATGTTGGTGATGGTCGATAGTTTCGGGGCGCAAGAACAAATCACTCCCTGGACAACTTTGAGGGAAGATTGGTATTAGTATCAGTCGCTATCAGTGCGGAATAGTGATGTCCGCGGCGATGTTGGCAATGCACCATTACATTTGTTGTTCCGATACCGACCAGCCGACATATGGCGCGATCGGCCGCTAACCGTAGACGGAAATGCCGCGGAGAAGAGCCTGTCGATGAGTCGTCCCCGCCAATGGCCGATGTCGTGATTTCGTGCTGTCAAGAGATAGGTACGCGCAAATTCAGTCCAAGTGCTCGTCGCGACCCATGACGATATTAAGGGCCTTTCGGCTCAGCATGATGCTGTGCTCGAGCGCATTGAGCTTTGCGGACGCGGAAATCAAAGCTGGATCCTGGCTTTCGACACGGATCTTCTCCTTCACGCGGACGTCCTGGCCCCTGTACTTGAACGTGCGGTCAGCCTCATCGTGGGCAGGGGCACGCGTGCCGCCAAGGGCTACCGCGAGGCTATCACGGATGCTGAAGCCCGTGAGCGACTTCTGTTCTGCCTGCTGCGGCTCGAGCGTGCGGACCTCGAGGACGAGGGCAGCGTCGAAAACGAACAGGTGGAAGGAGACTGTGGGCGGCAGTGCGGGATCAAAAGTCTGGTGGACGTGTCAGCGTTCAGTGCGCCGGCGTGACTGTGGACAGCCTACCTGCTCGTCGACCGGATGCTCCCACCACGGCAGCTGCACGTCAGAGTAGCCCTTCAATGCCTGCCGTGCCTCCTGCACATGCTCGTGGAGCAGCTGCAGCTGGCCAGCGACGAAATCTGCCTTGGTGGCATCTCCGCCCCAGGTAGCGACGTCGATGACGTCCAGGCAGCTGTTGATCGAAGTCCGCACCGAGGTGAGCTGGGGAACGACGAGTGTTGGTGCTTGCGGGGCAGACGAGATGGCCAGGTCGTAGGCGGGCGTCCCTCGCGGCGGCGGCAGGCTGGCGAGGCGTAGCTTTATGTTCTGGTGGTTCTCGTCAGCAACACGCACGAAGCCGGGCAACGAGACGGCGGACGCACGCCTTTGGTGACGCGGGTGCCCACTCTGGTGATGAGGCCCTTGAGGCTCTCAGAGCGCAGCGACGACAGCACCAGCGTCGATCCGTTCTCCGACGGCGCGAGGAGAGCAGCGCACTCTTCCAGGCCTGCCTTGAGCGACTGCAGCGTCTCGCGCAGCTGCACAAGCAGCCATTCGAGCTCGCGCGCTTGCGATGCGGCCTGTTCGTCGGCGAGCTGGGCATCGCCGATGGGCGGCCAGATGGCTGCAGACATGTCGCGGTGCTGGGGCACGAATTCAGGGCAGAGGGCAGCAAAACCTCGGCAGGCGGCGTCTACGTAGTCACAGCCGGCCACGATGCTGAGGCACTGTCCGCCTCGCAGCAGATCGCGCGGCAGCATCCGAGCGCAGTTGCCAGGGAAGTCGCGCCCGCAGGCCGCAGGGATCTTTTCCAAATAGCCGAGCGACAAGCTTCACGGCCATGCGACACATGCCAGGCCGCAAACATGCACCGCTGCACCAAACATGTTTCGCTGGCTGCGTCTCCGGCGCGGGCCTAGTCTCTGTGCATCGTCTCTCTTTGACCGCCGCGCTGGACTCCTTTGGCCTCGCAATGATGCAAAGCGCAACTCTGGCCAGCTAGTGAGGTCATGGAGCTACGCCTAGCGCTGCGCCGTGATCTTCGCATTAGCTGTCAACCCCTACGTCACCGTATCCTTGGCCGGCTCTTCATAAACAAGACGGCATCGTCTGCATCCCTACGCTTGTCCGCACGCTTCCGCTCTGGGCATCTCTCTTCAACTCAATCTGTCCCAATTTGAACATCTACTCCTGTAATCTTAATCCTCTATCCCAGACGACTGCTGACCGACACACGCAATGGGCCCCACTAGTACGTTGTCTTCCTAATGCAGCAATTGTGCATACCACGTACTAACTCAAATCATCAGGACCAATCCTCGCCATCTTGTCACTCATCCTCGTTGGCGGTGCCGTGCTTCTGCAATTCTTCACCATTCTGACCGGTGGTGTGAATTCCGCGCCCTTGAACAAGTTCTACTTCCTCGAAGCCTCCACCAATGGCATCCCCAATGCACGTAACCCATCGCGATGGACCTTTTTCGCCATCTGCGGAGAGGAGAATGGTCTGAATGCAAACTGTGGTGCTTCTGTCCCTGCACTTCCATTTGACCCTCCACGCAACTTCGGCACTCAGACCGGCATACCAGAGCAGTTCATTGGCACCCACCAGTACTATTACCTTTCTCGATTCATGTTCGCTTTCTACCTGATTGCCCTGTTTTTCGGTGCCGTCGCTCTCCTTACAGGCCTTCTTGCTCTCGTCAGCCGTCTAGGTGGCTACATCTCTTCCATGACCACTTTTATTGCTCTTTTCTTCCAGGCTCTGGCTGCAACCTTGATGACGTAAGTTACACACCTCAGCCCCTTGTCTTGGAATTATATTGACTTTGTCTAGGGTCTGGGTTGTAAAGGGACGCGATGCTTTCCGTTCAGCCGGCTTTGAAGCCCACATTGGTCGCTACCTCATGGGGTTTGCTTGGGCCTCGACGGCGTGCTTCTTCCTGGCCACAATCTTTTTCTGCCTTGGTGGACGTCTTGGTGGTGACCGCACCTCTTCCGTGCGCCGAACGCGTTCGACAAAGTCGAACCGCAGTCGGGGCAGCTTCATTGACACCGAGTCGCAGAGGAAGGTTCGCGAGTACTCCCCTTAAGTTCTTCGCAAGAATATGACAAGGCGGATCAACTGTTGTTGAAGAAGTGTGCGGAGAGTATATATGATATCCACGACATAGTTGCTATGTACGAATAGTGTTTTGTAACACGCACCACGCGCAACAGGAACCACCCAGCGCTCTTTTCAAATATATAATGACCAGCAAGCAAGTAATTAATCGGCTCCAAAATGTGTACACCTCGCTGCTTGTCATGAAACTCTACTCCGTACAAATATAATGTGTGGTTCGCAAAACTGTTTCGTGCGTCCTGGAATTCGTATAGACCTCGCGCGTCCCAAAGTCCTCCATTATCTACATGTATACCCATTACTTACACGTTACCATCGTGTGCTCCAAATAAATGCGAATCGTGACCCAACGCGCCTATGCTATGCCGTATTACCATAATTCGTTATGCGAGAACGCTCAAAACGCGCTAATAGTCAAGAAATCAAACATCGTCCCCCTGTTCATCAAGAGCTACACGGGGTCGTTCCAGCTTTTTCTCTTGTTTTTTCTCTGTTCCTCCCATATTACTAGTTCTCTTCCGCTATCTCGACTGACCCTGTCGATGCCGAGATGCTCTAGTCCGTCACGACCAACGTGTATGCCGAAACCATATCGGATGCGACCGGGATCGGTAAGCGAATTGCGCCTATCTCTGCTTCTGTGCTGCTTCTCTTCGATTGTTGGATCGGTAGGCGAGTCGGCGCGTAAATTGTCGCGGGACGGACGGACGAGTGATACAAGTGAACGTGTCCAGGTACGTTCCGCATACGAGTTACCCATCAACTTGGCAACAAGTTCAGGCTTCGTTTGCGGGCGTGCGAATGCGCGGTCGCTGAGGATCGGAGATTGGTACACCCAACTAATGATCTCAGCAACGCTGTTACTTTTGTGTGGTAGTGCGGCGCGGCGACGCCCCGGAAGAAGGGCAAAGAGGCCAAATGTGCACAGTGTCAAGAAGAAGCAAAGTGCGTAGTAGCCAGGCAGATCTGCCGCAACACGCACAACTTCTTCATTGTTGTAGTACTGCGTCCAGAAGCATCCGCCTGCAAGGACAGGCAGGGACATGGAGGCGAGTGAGACCAACGAGAGGATCGCGGTCTGGAAGTGCTTGTTCTCCATCGCGGAAAGGGTGACCGAAAATGGGAGGCGGCAGACATAGTCCACCAGGAGACTTTGCTCGGCTGTAGCTCCACCCTTCGATGATAGCGAAATGTAGGGCTGTAAAACTCGAAGAGAGTAATCGAGTGATAGAAGCGCGAGAAAGAGGAATTGGCCAATGAGTGCTGGAATGAACGAGTACAGGAAATTGGATGCTGAAAAGCCTCCAGAGTCGGTACGAGCAAACACCTTAGGTAAGAACCCAAATCTGACAGCGGAGTTGATGAAGCTTACTGCAAGAAAGGCAATGAGCAAGACGGATGCGACGCCAATCCAAGCAATGACCGCAAAGTCCCGGAGATACCATGGAAGAAACCGCAGTCGCACCCCAGGACTCCGAATATCCATGCGAATGGAATAGTCGCCTTGCTCGCCTTGAGTTGCGTACGGGTGCGGGCGTTCAGGACCCTTCTCCCTAATACGTCCTTGCTCGACTGAAAATCTCCGAACATCTCCGCCCTCTTCCCCGATACCGTAAAAGAAGTCGTTGGGTCGTTTCGTAGTGCTCCAGTATCCGATGCGATCGGCACGGTTAGCGACCAAGTGCCAGTCGGCTTTTTCGAAAGTCTCGGAGCCGTTGTAATCTGACATAATATTTGAGCGCTCAAGTAGAGCGATGATGTCGGCCAGTGATCGCGGATCCCACTTCAGACCAGTTGCATTTCGGCCAAGATTGAAGATCAAGGTAATGATGGCAATGACCAGCAGGACATAGAGCGCCACAACTGTCCAGATGACACCCTGCACAGCAACCCATCTCCAGGTACCACGGCCGACATCGTATCTTACGTTGAACGTAGATGCGAGCAATGGAATCGTCCATGAGAACAGCCAAAAAATGACGTAGCAAGTACCAACGCTATTATGACCTGCTCGGAAATGCTGAATATTGGGAAGCAGAAACTGAGTCGGATATAGACGAAGAAACACTGCTTCGGACCTTTTGTGGAAGGAGTTGGATGCCATGGACATGAAAGGGATTATTCGTTGCAATGCGATCTGTATCTGGATGAGCCAGACGAAGAGAAGCATGCCGAGCAGAGTCGGTAGGTACTCGAACACGAAGTAAAGGCCGTCTCCGAAAGTGCCATAATCACAAAGTCCGGTGCCACCGCTTCGGCTCGAGTAGATGGCGGCGAAGATGAGTCCAGCAAGCATGAGCAGGCAGAGAAAGGTGAATAGCCCAAGCCAGATTGGGCGAAGTATAGCAGGGAGAAAATGGAGAGACGCATGCGGTTGAGAACTCGCTACAAAGACATCTCTCGATGCTCGGGGAGACGATGGTGGCTGTTGCTGATGCTGATGCTGATGCTGATGCTGATGCTGATGCGCAGGTTGCTGGTTTTGCGTTGCAGTTGGCATTGTCATTGGCATATGCTTGTTCGTAGCCCCTCGCGCCTGATGCAATGTCTGGGGCTTGGGCGCCACATGCTGAGACATTCTCTGCTGCGTGGCCTGCTCCTGTGCCATATACCCCAGGCCGTAATCGTGCACAATTCTCTCAACTGGATAGTCATCCTCCTCGTCTAGTTCTTCGACCTGTGGGTAGACGCGCGAACCTCGGACCTCCTCATCCCGAGTCAGCTGGTCGATAGCAAATCGGATGTACGGTGTTGTATCTTGGCCTGGTGTGGTGGCATTCGACTCGGTATCCATGTTCGGTCGTGAGTGAGAGTGGCGGGTCTCTTGTGTGCCTGGTCTTTCCTCCGCAATGGTCGAGACAGTGGGTGATTGGGGTGGAATATGTTGGTAGGTCTGTTGAGGATGCTGCCTGGGAATACCGACGCCCCTTAGTGAAGTGATAGGTGCTTCAGGCTCAGACAGCAGCTGCTCATGACTCTGTGCAGGTGTTCGGTGATGTGACGGGGGAGTTTGGAAGCGTGGGTTGGGCTTCTCGTCGCTCTCGCTGGAAGTGTAGTCGGCAAGACTGTAATAGCCTTCGGACGCTGCTAAAGACTGTTGGGAGCCCTGGTTGGAAAGTCTTGGGCGGGAAACTGGCCGTTCCATCAGCAATTGGAGCGTCGTAGAGCAGAACAGACGTACCGTTAGTATGTTTGAGTTGGTACTCTGGCTCCGCACTCATATCTTCTTTGGTGCGCTAGGAAGTGGAGTCGTACAGAATGGTAGCATAATGCAAGGCTACCTGTAGCTGGGTGCAGGTCGGGTTTTCTACCTGGGATGGCTGGTGCAGTGGAGGCTGGGGACGGGAGGTTGGGCAGGGGGCATCTTGTCACAACTTCATATTGGTGCGACGCATGTAGACAAGCTTACAAAATCACCGAGGACAGGGATTGAAATAATGTCGCTTCCAAGGTTGATTGGAATCCTGGTGCAGCCATGTGCCAGTTGTCACCACATCCCCAGACTTCGCAGCCACGATGATGATGCTGAAAATTAGCGTGAAGCTCGGACCTCAACACCGGTCTCCAGATTAATGTCTTTGCCTCTATTGTAATAAGTCCGAACGTAGTCGTATAGCCCATTAATCCATTGGTTTTGAACGTTTCTCTTGACCTTTTACACAGGACTTCGCTTGTGGTCTTGGGCAAGTTCTTTACCAAGCACTCCCACCGAAAGCGCACTAGCTGTCTAGACAGCACATCTTGTCCACCGAGCTTCTTAGAATTATTTAATGTCATCCTCCTTTGTCAGTCCTTCGTAGAAATCATCACTGAGCGATGAGTTTGTCAGATGAGGGAGGAAGGAAGGGAGACTTACCATCGTCATATCTGAATTTTCGTAGCTTCCACGTCCTGCTTATGGTGACATATACTTCTGGCATACTGAGCATGAGGCGGTAAACCGGCCGTTATAGGAGAGGAGATATTATACCGCCACTCAACGAAGCGCCTGGCAGAACGCGCATTAATAAAGTCCGAACGTGGGCACATCACATGCGTTGGACTCAGCAACTTCATGGACAGTGTAGAGTAATGGAATAGTGTTTTGTCACCTTCTACAATTGACCGATAACACATCACCCCATGCCCAACGCCACTCCTCCCGTCAAAGAAAACCCCCATGCTCCAAGCCCGCCGAGTACGCTTCTCGCACACTCCCAATATACCCACGCAGCGCTCGCTCCCCCATTCCTTGACACGCAAGCCCCGAGCCCATGCCTACGCCACAGCCACGAGGGCTAGATCGGGCTCGCCGATTATCAATGTGTATGACGCTGGAGGTTGGGTATCCACAAGTCGTGCCAGCTCTGCTTGGGTTACTGCGTGTAGGGAGAGCGCGATGGGAGTGGAAGAGGAGAGTAGAGTATAAAATTAAAACGCATTTGCGCTGAGGGAAGTGTAAACTCCGCCGCGCCATGTTTGCCAGCGCAAAAAATGCACAAATCCCATCCCACTCCGGTCGCCAATGTGCACCTAGAACACCACGTGTGAACCCGTTTTTCCTGTGATCGCGAAAGAACAAGAAAAAGAACAAGAAGAACAATATCACCCGCGCTAATTCAATCCTGATTCCAGCTCTGAATCGGCACAACATTGCCCGCATCGACCAGAATCTGCTCATCCAGTCTCATCTCCGTATCCCCATGCTCTAGCCTCTTCCACGTCGAGACGCGCGCCTGATTCGTATCGACCTCGAAGACGCGCAAGCGCCTGACAAACTGGTTGTAACCCCCGTAGCCCCCAAAGCCACTGCCACCGGCATAGCACATCCAGAGCTCGGGTTCACCGGAATCGGGGGATTTGGACAAAGAGCAAAAGTCGTTGACGTGGTCGTGCCCGCAGGACACGAATTTGACGTCGTGTTCGACGAGGGCGTCTTTGAAGTGCGAGTTGTATTGCGGAGCGGTAGCGGGCTCGGTGAAGTTGCCGACGCGGTCATTATCCTGGGGCTGGTGTATTCGGGGAGCGGGATGTGGATAAATGCCATGTTGAGATGCTTGTGCGTGTATTTGCTATGTGCGTCTCTGAGGTGCGTGGCGGTGGTCTTGAACCAGTCGATTTGCTTTGGTTTCAGCCAGTCGTAGCCGCGGTAGTGTGCTTCATCGGGGGAGTATGCGTGCGTGTCGAGGAAGTAGAGGGTCAGCGCGGAGTGTTTGTTGTTGTGTGCTTCGACTTCGACAAAGTAGTTGCCCACACCTTCGATGGTGTTGGGGCCGGCTTGGCTTAGTGAATAGGGAAGGGATTCGTAGAGCGACATTTGAGCATTGCGAGAAAGGTAGTTGCCTTCGTCGTCGTGGTTACCGAAGATGGCTGCGTACGGAATCTTGCGCTCGGCGAGCGGTTCGATGATCTTGAACATGGCCTGTGTGGTGATTAGCAGTGGTTGACATGGATATTCCGGCCAACATACACTCTGGACATCCGGCGCAGTGCCACCGTTGACTTGGTCGCCAGTGAGGACCACGAGATCCGGCTTCTCTTCATCAAGCACCCTCTCAACAAACTCAAGAGTTCGAGGGTCGGCGTCGCATTGGCCGCCATTGAGGCTCTTGGGCTCCGGGTCTCTGCATACTCCTAGCCCAGTGCTAAGATGCAGGTCCGAGATCTGCATAATCTTGAACTTGCCATCCTTTCTGATCTTGGGCACCGGCCTCTCGTGTTTCACTGGCGGGCCTCGTCGTATGCTTATGCGCGGGTCCTTGCTGTCGTTTCCCGAGTCGAGGTGCAGCGCTCCGTTCTTGACCAGCTCCCAGCCAGGACGCGGCTCGACGGCATCTGCGCCGAACAGGATATCCACTGCAGTGACTGCTCTATTCGAGTCGCTCGCGTGACGCTTGAGGGACCTCTTCAGCCAGACGCCAGCTGGGCGAGACTCCCACTTCTCAGCAGCCTGTGCCTTCTCACCTGTCGCTGGGTCGAGTTTACCGATTCGCACGTCGACGATGACCTTGTCTTCGGCAGAAAGCTCCTCCTCGCGCTTGCGCTTGATGTGGACGTAGGCTTTGGACACCCAGCCCTTGCCCAGATAGAGGTCCTTCTCCACGCGGTGCCATTTCTTCTGGTCGAGCATGCACTTGGAGAGCGGATTGAGCGAGGAGCATGTCTGCACGGTGAGGTCGGTGATGACGAGGCCTTTCGTGGTGCAGCGGCAGGTGGTTGTGCACCGACTGGGGTAGGACGCGGTATCGGTTATCGAGGAAGAAGACAATGACGAAGACGAGAGTGACGAGACCAGCGAGCTGAATGCCCGTTCGCACCTATGAGAGTTAGACGGAGGAAATGTGTCGAGCAAGAGAACCACGGACTATACGGCGGGTCATGTTGGAGACCTCCGCACGAGCGGTGCTAGGTCATGGAAGGCGCGGTTACGAAGGTGAGATTTCGTCCCAAGTCACAAGAGGTCTTTTCCATGGTTCAGCATACCAGCCAGGTGTTGTAGGAGCATGCGCGCGATGAAGATGCTGGGACCGTGTTACTTCAGCGGGTGGTTGTGCTTGTCCTCTTGCGGGCTGGCTTGGCTTCCCAGACTCTTGGTTCATGATCGACGCTCCCGCAGCACCCTGAGCATCATCAACTCTCTCAGGTCTCGGAAAACAGAGCAGAGACCGCCATGCAAGCACAATATAGCCTTGGCCACGCTGGAATGCTCGCACGGCGTTTTGCCCGCTGCTAGTTGCAGATATCCTGAACCATGTCCTCCATCGGTACTTGATCTCAGTTTCATGTAGTGCGGCTACACCCGAGGGCACCCGCCTCGTTTGCGGAGGTGCATCGCGCCTGCATTACACCGTTGATATCGATAACGACCACGCAAAGTTATGCGCCACCACATCTGGAGCAAGACTCGACACCCTGCCATTCTACGCTTGCCCACAGCAAGAAGCTTCGCGAGCAGCTCGGCCGTCAAGCGCGCATTCCAAGGCAAGAGCCCCACTGCTGGCATGGAACTGTTAGGTACTGACCTCCACACAGAAGGCGACGTCGTTCTTCTGCGCGACAAGAAGGATGCATCCCATGATGGCGTCTTGGTGAGACTGCAGGCCTCGGGGTCTGCGCATAGCCACAGAGGTGTCGTGAAACAGGCCGACATAATTGGCAAACAGCCACGGCAGCTGGGAATCCACCCACAAGG